AAAAAAAAAAAAAAAAAAAAAAAAAAAAAAAAAAAAGAAAAAAAAAGGAAGGAATTTCTTTATTTACTAAAGAAATCGTGCCGTGAAATCGCGCGGTCGATTCTTTTTTTTCTTCCTCTAACGGTCGTCGAGTGGTGGGTAGTAGTATACCTTTTCCCATCACTGTGCGATCACATCTTTCATAACGTTGTTTTAGATCGTACGCGAATAAAGATATAGTAATCGTCGGATAATTTCATGAAACGTAGTCGTCGATTAGCGGAACGAATATAGTTCGAAATAATGGAAGAACGAGGAATCTAAAGATCTCGAGCATCCTCGAAGTCGGTAAAACGCCATGTTTCGAGGCTGCGCAAGCTTACCTAGTCTTATTTACTTATTCACATATACGTATATATATATATATATATATATATGTGTATGTATATGTATAGATAATAAGTTCTGCTGGCATTCCAACTAAGCGACATACACGATGATTTTATAATTGTTGTCGCTGATTTATCCTTTCTCTTTTTCTTTAAAGATAAAAAAAAAAAGAAAAAAAAAAATTATTTTTTTTTTCCTCAATATCTTTTTTAATTGTCTATTCGATTCTCTTTCATCTCGTTCATTTCTGTATATTTACTTTTACATTCTTTTTTTCATCCTTGTGCTCTGATCACTGTTCCTATTTAAAGTTTTAAAAGTTTTTAAAAGTAAGGGGTAGAGAACGATATCGTTTATCGTAGTTTTTAATGCGAAAAACAGTTAAGACACTTGTTAATCTCGATTATTAAATTCGCAAAAAATCTATATGTGTTTTCTCTATCAACGCGAAAAAAATCTCTCTCGAATTCTCTCTTACATCCTAAAAATCGTATCGTCATTCGAGTAGCGAAACAATTTGAACAAATTTCTTTCTTTATTCGTTCGTCGAATGTGTATATCTTCTTCCATATATTATGAATTATCTTATTGTAAAGATTGAACCACGTGTTCTATGTGGTTTGTCTGTTCGAATGGAACGAACCGATAAGAAAAAGAGAAGATAAAGGATATTCGAAAATAAGAAATGTAAATCGCGTAACTTCAGTCACTCTCGAAGTTGTAATTTTGTTCGTTTCTCTCGATTACACGTCGCATGACACTATACACAGTTCACACATGTTTTTAAAATGTTTTTCTGCATTTATAATGTCCTAAATAAAAAGTTTCGAATCGTGTCATGAGAAAGATTATTCATTCGAAACTCGAATATAAACCACTTTGCACGTACGAAGAGTTTTGTTTCGAAACTTTCGAACGTAAAAGTCGATTCTCGAATCGAAGCTCGTATTCGCGATCAGAACGCCATCTTTGGATCCTCGTCGCTCCAGCGAGAAGACGCCACTTGTGCCGGTGTAAATATCAAGTGAAATCATTTGCAAAGCGAATCGCGGAAATCATCATACTAAATATTGTACTCGATATTGTATTCGAATAACGCGAATAACGAATCATTAATCAGTCACGATGTGTGAATATAAGCGTATGCAATATAATTTCCCGATAACGTTTTTCAATCGTGACGTTTTGGCTTTCGATTATTCTTTTTTTTTAATTTTTTTCTTTTTTGCAATTTAACGTTCGCGTCCGTAATGCAAATTCGAGTTAATCGAAGATATAGTGAATACGCGATCATTGTTTCGTCTCGTTCTCTTTTACTTCAAATCACTTTTTGCTTTGAAACGCGACGATTAGGAATCTGCGCGCGCATCTATTGCTCATGGCTGTCGGTTGCACGTTGCGGGAACTCCGAAGAAAGGACGAATCGTTCAAAATGGTATTATTTTTTGTTCGCTTTTATTTGGATGAATCAAACTGATCGTTTCATTCGATCGCATCTCATATTCGTCTCTCGAATAGAGGGAACCTGAGAAATCAACCGATCAACTGGTAAGTATATATCTTTCTTTTTTCTTCCACTTTGGCAATGCGATGAAAATATCAATATTTTACGAATATAATTCATTTATTTCGTTCGTATTCGATGCGTGCCAAAATATCTCTATGCTATACTCGATACAAATTGGCTAAGGCTTTGGACTATCTCCGGTATATTTGCGACTTTTGCGAACGTACAGTCGCGTATACGTATCGCGTGTTTATACTCGGGCTATGTACAATTTTTAACACATAATGTTGTATGCATATTTACCGATAAGAAAGAGAAGACGAGGAAAAAAGGTGGATATAGGAAATGGGAAAAAAGGTGGTTGAAAACAGGGACACGGAACAGGGTTTTTGGAAAGATACGAATAAAAATGCGAAGAGGGATATAGATCGGAGTGAAAAGACGTCGCGCGATAAATTAACTCGCTGTTCGACGAGTCTCTGGTCCTGGGTATCTATCTATGTACAATCGACGACGTCTGATCGATCTGAGATCAAGATTCCGATTGCACGGTCTTCCGATGATGGACGTTATTTTATATATATATTTTATATATATATATATATATATATATATACACACGCAGATATAGAATAGCGAAGCGGACATGGTAGGTAGAAAGAGGTGAGAAGATGGGTTAAGGAAAGTTGATGGGTTTTAAATCTAGGAATATAGGCGCGCGGTCAAGCGCGCATATGTTCGGGACGTAGACGGTATGCCGCGAGCCTGCTCATCGGCCGAAATACTGCAAGGTGATTCGGAATGATCCGAGCTCGAAAAGGTTCGCGATAAGAAGAGGAAGGAAGGGATAGACAATCGGAGGAGGCTGATCGTCGGACGTGGGACAGGGCGTTGGCGCGAGCGTTACGAACGGTGACTAGCTAAGAATTTCGATTCGCTCGCCTATTCGCTTCTTCCTCGCATCCGTCAAGATGGGTGAAAACACTCTTTTTTTCTTTCTCCCTCTCTCTCTCTCTCTCTCTATTTATCTATCTATCTATCTATCTGTCCCTCCTTCCTCTTTTTTCCTGATTACTCGAAGTACGCGATCAAGGGAAACCTAGACCAAGGGACGCGCCGGATCCCGAGAACTGGTCCCAACCGGTCCGACATCTTGTCGATTTCCTCCAGTGGGGCAGTTGAATGCCGAGCCTCTTGCACTCGTGGACGTACGCGGTGAACGATTCGCAGTAGCAGTTTTCGGTCGGGCATTCGCACATGTCCTGTAGACAAGCCTTGTAGTACATGGTCGGATTCACCTTCTTGTGGCAGGCGTCGAAGATCTGCGACCTCAACCTGTTGCACAACCTGCGATCCGCGCGTTCGGATTAGAACGAATTCAGAGAGAGAGAGAGAGAGAGAGAGAGAGAGAGAGAGAGAGAGAGAGAGAGAGAGAGAGAGAGAGAGAGAGAGCTTACCGGTGATCCTTCCTACCCCTGCAACGTCTGGCGCGATCCACGTTCGCCACAGACTTTGGCCTGACGCAACTTTTCTTGGCCCCAACCAGCCACGATTGACCGAACGGTTGCGGATCTTGCAACAATTTGCCCCTTCGGTTGGTAAAGTCGTCCTTTGGAAGGGAATTGAAGTTCCCGCAGAGACCGCACAAGCGTCCCCGATACGAAGTCGGGGCGGACACTTCGAGAAAGCTGATCCCATCCCAGAGAACCTTGATTCCGATATGCGTGCTCACGATTATACCGTCCAACGTTCTATTCACGTCCAACCTGTTAACCACGCGATAAGGTAGATCCACCTTCTTACCGTTCACCTTCACTCGCATCTTCTGTCCGAGATTCACCTTCGAGTCACCCACCTACGAGATACGGAAAGAATATATACATTATACGATGGATAGACTAGATATACGTATATACATTTATATATATATATATATATATAATTGATCGTTGCGAGTGACCTTGATGGCGATCGTCTTCGTCCAAGCGGAGAATCTGGTCGATCTTGCATCGTTGGTAACCCGAATGCTGAACGTGTGCCCGGTGCAATCGCTTGCCAATTGATATTTGCAAGCTCCCTTGAAGCTGTAAAATTTCCCGTCGAACGTGCGGTAATGGGGATCACCGAAAACGGTGCACACACCGTCACCTGTGTGTGAGAGTATAATGATTATAATGTACATATATATAAATATACATATATATATATATATATATACATTCTTTCCTCAGAGTTTAGTACTCACTTTCCACGCAATGGGGGCAGCACTGACCCTCCGGATGTTCTAACCTCGAATTCGGAGGGCAAGGTACATTCAACGGCGGACACATGGGCATCGCGCATCGTACTTTACCTTGCATGCAAGCGCATGCCTTGCACGAGTCAAGCTTCCAACTTTCGCCATCCTGCCTAGGACAAAAAGGGAATCTTTAAACGTTGGAACGTTGGATCTGGGGGAGGGGGAGTGAGGCAGATAAGGTACACGCCGGATACTCGCCCCGTAAGTTTTGCCTGCGTAAGTGCAAGACGGTCGAACTTCCTCGACCTCGGGACACTGGGGACAACAACGGCCCGGTAAGGCGATCTGATGCTCGGCCGGGCAATCGTGGACGGGGCAAGTCTCTCGTACGCAGGACACGGTCGAATTGGAGCAGGTGCAACGGGTGCATTGGTCCAGATAGAATTGGTTGCCGGAATTGTAGACGCTGGTCCCAAGTGTGCACGCGCCTTTCGGCGGCGACAAGTATCTCCCGCTACCTGTCCACGCGTTCCACATTGCGCGATTCAGTTCTGTGGGGGAGTGGAATATTTGTGTATACCTGTCGAATTTACGTACCTTTGCAACGTGGACAACACTCGCCGGGATCGTGGACTATTCGAGAACCGAGGCAATGAAGGACGGGGCAAGCTTGCTTGGCGCAGGTCAGCCGGGCACCGTTGCATCTGCAAGTGACGCATGGATCCTCGGTCGTGGTCACCGATCGATCCGCCGTCACCATTTGTCCGTTCACGTGGCATCCTGCGAAAGCATCGTATCCTTCACGTACGTCCATTTTTATGTACATTTATATGTATATTGTATCGTGTGTGCGTGCACATGTGTGTGTGTGTGTGTGTGTGTGTGTGTATAGGTTTGGAGAGTTACCAGCGCATACGGGGCAACATTGGCCGGGCGGAGGAGGAATTGGATCCGAGCAAGGCGTGTAGCAGTGCAATCGAGACTCGGTGATCACTCCAGCTTTGCAAGCGAAGATTCTACACGGATCGTTTCCCTCGGTCCACTCGGTCTCGGATCCATGATGAACTCCGTTTCGCGTGCAACCTTTGGAGCGAAAAGACAAAAAAAAAAAAAAAAAAAAAAAAAAAAAAAAAAAAAGCGTGAAAAATTTCCTCGACCGGGGAAAATTAGAGCGGAGAGACGGAGAGGGAACGTGGAACGTTTATCGGCGTATCGGCGCAGACAGAAGCGCGAGGAACAGAAGCGGCTTTGTGCCGCAACTAGAAACAATGCTCCCCGCCCGCGAACGCTTCCACTCTCGGTCAAACTGGAGCGCGATCGCTTTCTCCGCTCTATCTTCTCTCTGTATATTTTTTGGTCTGGTTTTATTATTAAAACTTTCGACTCGACCAACCTTTACACCTGTGACAACACTCGTCCTCCCGTGGCTCCAGCAACGTGTAACAACCTTCGATGCTGGGGCATTGCTGTTTCCTGCACTCGACGAAACCGTTCTGCGAAATATATAGAAAGATACGCGTGATAAAGGCGAACGATCCTCACCCGCGTAATTATTTCTCTCGCCTCGCGTTATCGCGATCTATAATTAAACCTCTACGAGGATTTATCTCTACGAATTATTACGTAAAAGGTAAGCGCGAAAGATGATCCGAGAAAATAAGGCAGATTATCGATCGAGGCGAGGCGAATAATGAAATCGAAAGCGGCATAAATCGATAGATAGATTTCTTTTTTTTTTTTTCTTTTTTTTTTTTTTTACCTTGCACAAACAGTTGAAACATCTGGTGTTCGGGATCTTGTCCACGGTAAAATCTTCTCCCTCGACATCGCACGTTTCTCGGCTTCCTGGAAGACACAGAGGTAGCGATCACACGATGCGAACGATGATGATTCGGTACGATTGGTCGCGCGGTCGACCGATATCGGAACCCGGCGCCGATTCTTCGGTTACACGCATGCCATATCGATTATCCAAGGTCATAGGTGTATTATCTTCTACCTCAGAGAGAGGTCGAGCACGATTCTCGCGCTTCCTTCCTTCTTTCCTTCCTTCCCTTTTTTCCCCTCTTTTTTTCTCTGTCAAGTGCGCAGGAATGCGTGCGAGAAAGAACGCAGCGGCGTTGCCGTTCGCGTTTCCTTCGCCTTCTCTTTCTCTCCCCCTCTTCCTTCCCCCCCTCCCCCTCCTCCTAGTTGTTTCGTTCTCGGCCGCGCATCGAGTTCCGTTTCGCGAGAAACGCAGGGAAACGCGTCGCGAAAAACCAGCGAGTTCTCGTTTCCGAATCGAACGAAAGGGAGGAGAGAGAGAGAGAGAGAGAGAGAGAGAGAGAGAGAGAGAGAGAGAGAGAGAGAGAGAGAGGGAGAGAGGACGGATCGGATCGGATCGGATCGGATCGGATCGAAAGTCAAGGCAAACGCGCGGGCGTGCATATGTTGTTTACGCAATCAGTGGACTGTCGAGAGAATCGAGGGAAATTGTGGGTGATCGAGGACGATCGTTGTCAAACTACTACTACTACTACTACTACTATTACTACGGTGGGAAACGCGAATAGACAATGGAGACGGACCTAAGAATAGAGCATTGACGTTCGCCGTTCGTTCCAATGACTTTCGATCGCGATCGCGAATCTCGTATCCGAGATGACGATCACCTACGTTCGAACTCACCTATTATACTTTCCGAGATTCCGTGGCAATGACGGATCGACGAGATTAAAGCCAGGGCCAGAACTAGGATCAACGGTTTCGAGGATAATCGTCTCATCCTTATCCTCGCCATCGATAACATCGGCTTAGTTTGCGTCTTCGCCCTCGTCGCCGATCACGATGGTTTACTAGAAAAGAGAAAGCAGAGGCTTCCGTCAGAGATCTCTCTCCCCTTCGAGGGTGACATTCCACGTTCCCGAAATCGAATTCACGAGAAAACAACGGAAAACGAATTTGGATCAAGGCTGCGAGTAGCCGCGCGCCACACCAGTAGCGGAGATCGCTCGCTGTGCGATCAACAAGGAAAGAAATAAGAAGAAAAAGAAGAAAAACACGCCGGTTCGCCCATCAACGATTGTTGTCGTAACCTTCCGCCCGTTCGTATATTTACGCTAGACCTCCGTATATTTTCACGAGTCACGGACAACGCAACAACCTATGGAATCTTTCTTCGTAACATCCGTAACGGTCGATTCGTAATCATTCCGAGAACCGCGCGCGTGCGGTTACCCGATACGATCCTACGTCGAAACGAGCCAGCTTCGTCTCGATTTCTCTTGTCCGTTCGATTCTCGCCTCGATTCTTCTTTTCCTCTAGATATCCAGATTCGCATTCCATCACTTTATCTCGTATCGAGAGCTCGGAAAGTCGAGCGAAATTTTCCGATCGGACGAACGAACGAACGAACGAACGAACGAACGAACGAACGAACGAACGAACGAATGAACGCGTGTCGTTTTCTTCTCTTCTTTTCTCAGACTCGTCGACTCGTCTCTAGCTCGATCCCCTCCACTCTCTCTTCACCGATATTCGTATTATCTCTTTTCCCCGCGTCCCATCTTCAGCTTTGAGATCGACTAATGGACGAAGCGAGTTCCGTTTATCTCCTCTCCATTCGTTTCGAACGCGACCAGGTATTCGCCTTTCTTGTCGTCGTCGCTTATGTAAAAAAAAAAAAAAAAAAAAAAAGATCGAACTCGAAAAATCGAATCGAATCCTCTCCTTTTTCCCCCTTTCCACGCTTTTTTAGTCGATTCGCGAGACTCGACCGATCACAGTCATAGTACTCGAGAATTGGAATCGCGTAAATAACGCGGCCGAGGTTCGAGCAAGCAACGAGTACAGACAGAGGGGAGAGAAGGGAGAACGACGCGCGATAAAGTGAGAGGAAAAGGAGAGAGAAGAAAGAACGATTGTCGCGGGGACGAAAGAAACGATCAAGCAGCGAAGGTTCCGACAATTTTATGAGCTTTAACTCGGAATCAAGTCGAATTCTAGTCGAGATCTCTCGACACGTAATTGAGTAAACAAATGGCACGATCCGAAAAGGGAGACGCGTCCTTACGCGAGAACAGCGTCGAGGACGGTTGAGAAGCAACCGGAGGTAAGTGGCACGAGCTGTCGCGTGCACTGGCACGCCGTGACGGAACGACAACAACGGAACAGGTGCGTGGAACGAGAAGGGCTTGCTGCGCACCATCTGCCCGCATGTGCGTCGGTATACGAACTCTTAGACGAACGAGTACGCATACCTACCTACCTACCTACCTATCTATCTACCTACCTATCCATTCATCCATCCATCCATCCATCTATCCATCCATCTACCTACCTATCTACCTACCTACCTAGCTACCTAGCTACCTACCTACCTACGTACCTACCTACCTCGTTGCTCCTTGGTTTACGAGCGTCGATGCCGGCCGAGCGTCGTATACGCGACGAAGAAAAAACAGGAGGAGAAACGAAGGGAAAAGAAGGGAAGAAGAGAGAAGGGGAAGAGCCGGCGAGTCTCTCGGACGATCGCGATCAGCGGGACAAAGCGAAGCGACGCGTCACTGGCGACATCTAGTAGCGCGTACTCAGCTGTCAGATGGGTACGCGCCGCCTTCGACCCTCTACCGTTTCTGCTTCGACCGTTTCTTCCTCTTTTTCTCGAAAATCTTTCCTTCGCGTCCCATCCATTCTATAACCCGCGCCATTCTCCTTCCATCTTGAACGGAGAACGATCGAACGCGATTCGCGAGAATCGCGTTACGACGCGGCACGAATCTTTGCGTCCTTGATTCGTCACGGGTGTGTTTGGTTGCGTTGGTTGGTTCGTATCGGCGAACCGGCACGGGGACAAAGAGATCGAGGTCGACTTACCGGAGTCGAGATATCGCCACGCATCCGTGATATACTCGGCGCCAAAGCGTCGACGAGGCTACGCATCCGTCGATGAATCGAGACTCGGTTCATTTGACGAGCGGGAAAGCTCGATAGTTTGCGTTCGAAACGTTGCGCTCGCTCTCTCCTTCCCTTTACGCTGCACACTCTCGCCGATAAATGCCGCGCACATACACACGCGCACACGCGCGGTACGCGGAAAATCACCGTTCGAAGAATCGAAGCTGCGGTTACCGGGTTACGTTCTCGCGGGGCAAGCTCGACCACCGACTACCGACGCGACTCGAACGCGTCAGCTGCTCGCCGCAGCTGCACTAAAGTTCCGTTGCGAGAACTTCCACCACGTTCGTATCGTTCCAGCGTAACGAGGTTCCGTGGCTGCGTGTTGTTGGACTAGCTAGCCAGCAGCAGCGGTTCAGGGGGGAAAGGCGACTGGAAGTGGTCGAGAAGAGTGGTGGCCACACGGCACTCGGGACGGCGCGCCGCGGCAGCGGCGGTGGTGGCGGCGGCGGTGGCGGAGGTGGCCGGTGAAGTAGCAGCGCGGGAAGCTGGTGAAGGAACAACGGCTCGGGAAGGAGGAGGAAGAAGAGGAGGAGAGTGGGTTTGCTCGGATAACCGGTGAAGAGAACGGCAGAGGAGAAACGAACGGGATGGGTGGGAGAATGTTTCGATTCGCTCTTTCTCTCTCTCTCTCTCTCTCTCTCTCTCTCTCTCTCTCTCTCTCTTTCGTCCCTGCGTTAACGACGTGCCGATTCGATTACCCATCGGTTCGAAATTTTCACGTTTGTTTCTCGTCGCCCGTGTTACACGTTGGATGTATGCGCGAATCGAATCTATTTGGGTCCATCGCTGACCCTTCTACACACCACCACTACTGATAAGATAGACGGCCGAGAACCGGCCAAGAAAGGTGGAAAGAAGAGGGGCGAAGAGGAAGAGTAAGAAGAAAAAAAAGTTTTTTTATTCGCCAGTGGAGGTGGCGTGAAGAGAGGAAAGGGAAGGAAAAGAAGCGAGGCTATCGCGATTGTCTCTGCGCTCGATCGGAATACCAAGCTGGAAAATCGATCGTTTGAAACGCGAAGAACCAAGATCCGACGAGATTCCAAACGAGAATCCGTCTCCGACCAATTTTCGATAATAACGACCATTCTATCCACGGTGTTCTACTTCGATAATCGGTATCGGTCCGCGCGCATTCAATAATACCGCGTTTTTACGAGATATCCGGTGTCGACATATCAAGGATTCCGCGCAAACAGCGTTCTCGTCTTGAAGCAACGCGAACGTTAACCTCGATACCATTAACGAGTTTTTACTACATTCGATTCGAGCCGAAACGCGAAAAGAAAAACGCGTTAACTATGCACCCCTTTCTTTCTTCTTCCGTAACTTGGCCGAGACGAAACGACGCTTACTTACTTTCTCGGCTATTGTACATATCGAAGATGTTTATCGACGATACTTTTCTGCTCTTCTTGACCACCGAGTATTTTACGTTTCTAACAAGTACTACCTATCTACCTATCTCTCTACCTACCTATCTACCTACCTACCAATCTATCTACCTACCTATCTACTTGTCTACCTACTTACCTACCTATCTATCTATCTATCTATCTATCTATCTATCTATCTATCTATCTATCTATATACCTTTCTACCTATCTCATTACCATTGTTCGTGGAAATGCAAACCCTTACGACGCGTAACAGTCGGGAAATTTAGAAAAATTCTATCGATGCATAGAAATCAATTTTATCTTTCTTTCAATCAAATTCAATCTTTATTATATCGTTACAAAGATGGATTTGTTTCGAAAATATCGTGGTGTAAAGATGAAAAGGTGAAAGAGGAACGGAACGCAATCGCTTTTACTTTCTTTCGCATAACGAGCCCAAGGTCGTGTGAAAATCTCGAATGGCACGGTCCCTGGAGAAATTTCGCTTACGACGCGAGACATTTCCTTCGAATCGGTCGCTATGTGTCGACGCGAAGACGTCGAGGCTGAAGAGTAAGCGGGTATATCGTTGCCCCGCGAGCGATATCTCGACTCTTTCGAAACGAACGTTTCGTCGTCCATTACTCCTCCTCCTCTTCCCCTTCCCCCTCCCTCTCAATAGCATAGCGCGACCAACGCTAGCAAAGTATACACGAAACGCTCGAATCGTAAACATAGTTCGATCGGGATATTTGTTCGAAATAAACGGGACTGGAACGTTGAACAGACACGGCCATTTCTGACTCGAAATTTATTTTCTTTTCCAATTCTACGACGCAACCTCTCGGTTTTCCACGAATCATCACCCGTTTACAGGCCGTTCGCTTCTCGACCTTGGACCACCGTTGCTAATCGTCGTTTAACGCGTTCTCGTTCGATCTTATCTTTCGAGTCCTCGACCACTACCGATGCTTACCGATGATTTATGGATCCGTTAACGTCCATAAAACGTCGCTTTCTCTCTCGTCTCAGGCATCCGACCGTTGCCGGAGAGATCGGCCGCGATTCGCAAGAAAAATAATCGGAACAATGAAATCGAAGAGAATTTCCAAAATTCCACGATTCCTGTCCTGTTTGTCGATCGAAATTGAAACTCGGGAACGTTGTTGAGGTCGAGTTGCGACGCAATCTCGAGCCGTGAAAAAGGAAGAAGGTTGCGGCGTATGGTCGGCGCGTAATCTCGATCGCGTTTCCGGAAACGAGCCGCGTATCCTGCTTCAGCCTGGCCGAGCAGAAGGCGGCGGCGAAGGAGGAGGAGAGAGGAGGGGCGGCTCAAAGCCGTTCTCGCTCGCCAAGCGGCGAAGAGGCGAGGAGGCAAAGGGGCAGGTTTTATCGGTATATGGCGAGCTAATTAGCGGCGTTCGCAATCAATCGCTTCCGGAGGCGGTTACAATCGCTCGTTTTCCGCCCTCCTTTTTAACCCTGGCCGATCGATCGCCCCCTCGCAATCGGAAACCATCGCGTTTCCGCGCGATCCGCAACACGGGCGAGCGAAAGGAAAAAGTAACGTCTCCACCTATTAACCGATTATATCATCGCGTTCGAGAAAAACAGAGTCGTCCGATCTCTCTCTAGTCGCCTCGCCGTCATCCTCGCCATTAATTAACCAGTCGGGAAAGCGGAATCGCGGCGCCACGATGAATCACGACGACGAATCACTCGGCCTCGGTTTCTTCTTCGGTTACGCCGATTCTGGAGGAAAATCGTTGTTCTCGATCTCCGCGATGTCCGATTCCCTCGAGGCACCGAGTCGTCCTATCGCGTGGCTCAGCCGAGTCTTCAGTTTCGCCATCTCTCTCTCGGACGTTATTGGAACCAAGCCGGTCCACGTGCACGATCTCGTCTCCGAAAATCCACCGCTCTTCCTCGACACGGACTTGAGCAACGCGGCCAGTCCCGCGTTCGCGATCTCCTCCCAATCCTTTCCGATCGGGCTCGATTATATACAAATTATATGGATAAAAGAAAATTCTATTTTACCTACCGTTCGATCGGACGGCTCGAATCCTATAGCCGTCCTCAGCGCCTCGTACTTGTCCTCGGCCACATTAGATCGCAACAACGCCAACAACAATTCGACGTTGCATCGAAGCTCGTGCCCGCTTCGCTCCCGCTTCTGTTTCGAATATCAATAATAAACGGGTAATTTTATATTATCAAATTCGACTTACCGCTCGTGCCTTCGCGAGATCCTCGAGGCGCGCGAAGATGGAGCTGCACGTGGATTCGAAGAGGAAGGGTAAGCCGGTGTCGGTCAACGATCGCTCGTTCCTCTCTCTCACGATCCTTACCGTCTTTCTTGCGATACTCCTCAACTGATTGGTCAACAATCCGATCTCGTTCTATCCTCGAAAACGGAAACGGAAACGGAAACGTGCGAACGAGAAACGAGGGTGTGTGAACTCGTCTCGTCTTTTTTCAATATCTCACCGTTATCTTCTCGATCTCTCGCCGAGCCGCGAAATGATCGTCCATCCTCTGATGCACCGATCGAACGTGGTTCTGGCCCACGTTCGCCCCCACATTTCCCCCCTCTCCCTTCTTCCTCGCCCATCTGTCGATCAATCGGCGCACGATCAAGGTCGAGGACGACCCGTCGCTCGACTGGACGCGGTAATTCGCCACGCTGGACACCACTGTTACCCTGCGATCCGAATTCACGTGGCCGAGCCCCACCGCGTTCCAACCTTGTCTCTGCGCCGATTCGTCCGCCCATGCGAATTCTATACAGGGTTAGAACCCGTTGGAAAAAGTAACCAGTTAAAAATTTCGAATAATTACTTATTTAAAATGCTTGAATAATATTTATATAATATTTCGTAGCTATTATAGTTGCTTCTTCTATTGTATTATCTCGATTGCATTACAAAAATTATTTCCAATTATTATTTGAACGATAAATTATCGAAGTAATTTTTATTATTCTATTTAATTTCAATTGTTAAATTTTATTAATCCCAGATGGAAGAACGATTCTTCCTCGATCCTTGAAATAAAAAATTTCTTTGAAAGCGAGCGTTATTATTATTATTATTATTATTATTATTATTATTATTATTATTATTATTATTATTTGGGAATTATTATTATTATTATACCGGGGAAAAGTTGGGTGAAGGGGAGGGTCGACGGAGCGTTGCTTTTGACGACGGTCACGAAGGAGGAGGATTTTTCGGGCGGGCAGCTTCTCAACGCCATTTTTATCGGTATTTGGCCGATTTTTCTCACGGCTCGCAACACACCCTCGTCCGTCTTATACGTGACCACCACGGTCACGTCCATCGTGTACGACGGCCAATCCCCTTCCACGCTCACCACCGTCCTCCTCGAGTGGTTCTCGTCTGAAAATCGAATTAAAAATTAAAAATTCGACAGAATTAGTAGTAGAGACTGCACCAGATTAGAGAGAGAGAGAGAGAGAGAGAGAGAGAGAGAGAGAGAGAGAGAGAGAGAGAGATTCGCTTACAGAGGTTGGGCACGGTGTAGAAATCGACGTCGGCGAGCAAAGGTTTCGAAACGTGGACGCAAACCTGAACGTCGCGAAGAGCAGCGTACGAGGACAATTGTACGTCGACCTCGCAAACGGGCGACGGATCCGAGTCCATGGATGCGTTTATCGTCACTACGAGCTCCGCCTCCGCTCCAGCGTCGCTGGTTCGATCCTCTATTCGAAAAAGCATCGCGATCGATTCGTACGTCGAATCGCGAAAACTAGGAAACTGCTATACCTACCCTTCCTCGTACACACACACTCTCGCAGCTTCGACAATTCTCGTTCAGCGGCCGCGTAATCGTAGCCGCGCGGGTGAAGAGGGGGGGCGACGAACAAACTCGGCTCCGAGCCTAGGTAGCAAGCCTCCAACCGACCGTCCGCCGATAGAACGACTATAGCGCCCTCCAAGTGCTGAAAAATAGTGCGTTGATAATTTGTCCTCTTCCTCTATTTTCAACTCACCCGAAGTTGAACCCTGGCCACGGTGACAGGTGTGAAGGGCAATTGTGCCGACCATTTCAATGTGGTTCCCTCGTAGATCATCAGAGTACCCGTGTCGGCGATCACCAGCACCATCAATTTCCCGTCCGGTTCTGAAAAAGAAATTCCAATAACGAAAAATATATAACAATAACAAAAGATATATATAAAATATATAAAAGATATATAAAAGTATTTTCTTCGAGGTGTTCATCGAATTTATTATTGTTGTTATTATTATTATTATTATTATTATTATTATTATTATTATTATTATTATTATTATTATTACCGATTACGTAAGCTCGAAAACAGACAGGCCTGTACTCGAACCTCTTCGCGTATTTGACCGAGGCGCAGTTGTCCTTTAGACAATAGAGATGTCTCTCGCCGAGTACCACAATCCCGATCTCGAAACTAGTCAAAGTGACAGTCTCGATGCCGAGGATTGGTTCACCGATGTTGAACGTCCAATCCGGTTCCAAACTGCTGCTGGATCTTCCATGCCCCTCCTCAACGCCGTCCCCGTCTTTGTGACCGATCCTCGACCACTCAGCCATGCTTTGATACCTGGGCAAACGGTGTTCTAAGTTTTTCCTCTTTCAAGCTAGCTAGAAGGAATCCACGTGCCTGTGACATTCGAGTATCCAGGAGGAGGTGGCGGCCACGAAGAGATCGTATCGGGATACGTAGACGATCGGCTCGGCCAGCAATTGATTCCTCCTCGTCTGGCTGAACACGAACACCTCTTGCTCGTAGAACAAAAGAGTACCGTCCAGGCATTGAACGCAGAGAAAATCCCTGCCGCGGACCCCGCCGAATGGCCCAACCGTCAACGAGGCCGGGAACCTCGGCAATCGATGCTCGTAATTGATCTTCAACTCGCATCGATCCCCTGTCGATCGAAACGCTCCCTATATTCCATCTGAGACGACCGAGAGAAAAATTAGCTCTTTCGCCAATTTTTCTTCAGTGATTGTTTCAGAACATCTATATATATATATACATACATATATACTCGTTCCTCAATTTACAAAGGAAAATATAATGTATTTTTATCCTTATCTTATACAACGTTTCAACATTGTCAACAATAAATTACTGTATATACACTTTTCTTACTTTTAAAACTTCTAATAAACTAAATATATTTTCTGGTTGAATAATTTATTAGTATAGTTTAGTTTAGTTTATAGTACTATGGTAATATAATTTTAGGTGTATATCGTGAAATTATGAGAATGGGAGAAAGAGGGAAAGGAATAGTACCGTATTCGGTTTCAGATCCTTCGATTAGAATCATATCGTAGACGAGCAGCTTTGAATCGGTCAACACGGCTAGCCGTGAATCCTGCGATCCCCTGCAATTGTTTAAATTAACCTTCGATTGTTTCGAATACTCGTGTACTACTCACGAAACGAATTTGCCCGTTTTAACATCCACGATGCAATCGCCGACTCGCTTCTCGATCATGAGATCGGTCGATTTGTAGTTGGTCGGCGATTTCGTTTCATCTATCCATCGAGAAGACGGATCGTACATCCTTAGGTAACCATCGTGACTAGTCACCACAATGATATCGTGGTGCCTTTCTTTCCCGAACAACGGCGCTGCCATCAAGCTGTGTTTGTCGAAAGTCTCGTTTGCTCCGCATCTCGTTTGCCACCATTCTTTCGTCTTGAACAACGACATCGTCCTATCTTGAATAATAGAAAACGCGATACTTACCTCTCTCTGTTTCCTTTTTCTCCCATCGTTACCATGGAGTCGATGCGTCACAACATCGTGCTCGAATCGATCGTTACGTAATCAAGGTCGGAATTATTATATTCATTCGATTGAAAATTTTAAAATCGAGCGATTTTTTGATTATTTTTTTTCTTTTTTTTTTTTTTTTTCTTATCGATTCAATGTTATCTCGCGATTATTAACGAACGATTCGATTTTGATCTTGAAAATCGAATTTACCGCTGCGGCTTCGTTAGTTAGTCCATCTCATTGGTAGATGGCGAAACTTTACAGTGTGAAGTATGTGCGTCGTTGACATATAACGGAGTGTATGCGCTCCGAGTTCGATCGATGTTTCTTCTTCGAAGCGACGAGGAAAGTTGGACGAAGTTACGAACAACGATATGGAACCGCAAGACGTTTACTACAGCAAGGCAGAATACGTGGAAACGGTAAGTAAACGAACGAAACGTTGAACGGTATTCGGCAATGGCAAAGAATATACCTAACCTCTTCTTTCATCTTCCACTCTCTTTCGATTTTAATGTTTTTCAGGCATCGGGGAATAAAGTGAGCAGACAGACAGTGTTATGCGGATCGCAGAATATTGTGTTGCACGGAAAAGTGATCGTACAATCGGATGCTATTATCAGGGGCGATTTGGCGAACGTGAGAACGGGACGTTATTGTATCATCAGTAAGAACGCCATCATAAGGCCACCGTTCAAAAAGTTCAGCAGAGGGTTGGTAATCAATCGATTCGATCAATTCGTAATCGATACGTTAACGATATACATATTCGTTCGTCTCGTTTCCTCAGCGTTGCCTTCTTCCCTCTGACGATGGGTGATCATGTTTTCGTAGGAGAAAGAGCAGTGGTTAACGCAGCCATCGTCGGTTCTTACATATACATTGGAAAAAATGCGGTGATCGTACGTATCGATATATCATGCGCAAACATAAGAATTTATTCGTACGTATATAGTACACAAAGAGAAAGAGAGAGAAAGAATCGTAAGTGCTCTTTCAACTACACAGGGAAGGAGGTGCGTCTTGAAGGATTGTTGTTACATCGAGGATGGAGCTGTGGTTCCACCGGAGACCGTAGTTCCCTCGTTCACTCGTTTCGCCGGCAATCCTGCCAAGTGCGTCGAAGATTTACCCGAGTGCACTCTCGACCTCATGCTAGAATTTACCAAGAATTATTATCAACACTTTTTACCGTCTACTGCTTAACTCGTTTGTACGTATACACGGAACTAGCTTGTAATTGGAAAAAAAAAATATTATTCATTTACGTTTTTACGTAGGTTCATCGAATCGAATCGAGTTATCGATCGAATCCCCTCTCTCGTCGTCGGATGCTCGTCCTTCTCCTCAAATTCGAATTCGAACGGAACAGCTTTGCTCCACGTCGCGATAGTCATTGCATCGTTACTCTTCAATGTTCGACCCCAACGAATTTGCTGGATTTTTTTATGCCAAACGATTTCGATCGCCAACACGACGAGACTGAGAAGCGTCCCATAACCTAACGCGACCAGCGCGAAGTAACACTCGGTGAAACCTATTCTAACGAAGCTCTTCCGTTCATGACACTTGGGCTTGTTCGTGTACAGCCGGACGTCTTCGCGAATTTTGAGCCCGGTTTCTCTCAATAGAAGAGCTCTACGAAAACGAACTAAAAGTGTAACTGATTATATATATATATATATATATAAGTCGTTTAAATCGCTCGCATGCCGTTTCTATCTTACGTGTTCTTGACGATCTCTAAATACGGGGATCGAGTTTGAATGACTAGAAGCGGATCCAACATGTTCATTACGTCTATCTCCATGATTCCACATTTCTCATCCTCGAAATACGTTTCCTGCATGATCTTGTAGAGGGCGCCTCGTTCCGCGTGAAACGCAAACAGTTCGTTTCTGACGCGGCGTGCACCTTCTTCGACTGACATCCACGAACCATTTTGACCCTTCGGCTCGATTTTTTGATCGACTATCGCTCTTCGTATCGGATCTTGAAAACTCTGTGTATAGATCAAGACAGAAATTTCGACGTCTATCATACGCGTGGAAAAATTTTTCAAAATCTCAAGTGTACCTTGAAATAATGTCGGCTATATACCACGTCTTGAGCGCCTAATTTCAACGGGCTGTGCAACAGATCGGCCGGCGTTTTGATAGAGTCGGTGGTCGATTGAAGCAGAGCGACGATGTTTGCCGTGTAAGAGGCGTACAAATTAAGCGCTGCGATCAAAAGCATCAAGGTAACTATTCTCGAGGGAACGCGATATGGCTCGTAAGAATATCCTGAAACCAGAGTTGATAAAAGTTAGGTTAGCTTAAATAAGGTTAATCCGTTGAAAAAGTAGCTGGTTAAAAATTTCGAATAAAGTTACTTCAAGTGACTACTTATATTAAAATATTCGAATAACGTTATAATTGATCCGTTTTCTATATAATTCTCAGCCGTTTTACGCTACAGCTTTTACAATTATTATTATTACATTTTGAATAAATTATCGAAATAACTTATCGAAATAACTTTATTCGTAATTTCGATTATTAAATTTTCCCATCACTGCCTGAAACGAAGAAAAGAAGGATTTGGCGATAAATGACGATAATATAATATATATAATCGTCCGTAACGCGGTAGGTTACCTTGTTGCGCGATCGCTCCCAATATAACCATCAAGTTATCGCTAACCGTTTGTTCGGCTGGATTGAATTGTTGCCAATATCGAGCCGTGCTCGTTGATGCACCTCTTCGATACTCCCATTTGGTGGAGAAACAGAGCAATCCGAGTAACAGCAAGAGAAAAACTGCGATCGCTATCCAAACGGATCGTTGGAACGGTAGCGTGAATATGTTGCTGACGGTGGACAGCAAAGGTTGACGAAAGATGAAGCATGCTCTATAGTGACGGAAATATAGTCGGTCAAAGTAGTTACGCTATGTGAAGAAGTGCGAAAAAGAGGTTACCTGGTGTGCGTGTAAAGTTGTATATAATCTACCACACCGATACGTTGTGGAATAAAGAAAGTTCCCGTCCCGCCTATGTCGATTTCCCTACGTTGCAACATCCCCGTCATTCCACTCCACGTACCGTTCTCGCTTCGATATCCCCAGCTATCCGTTACGCGAAAGCTAATTCTAAATAATCAAGTTTAAAGATATGACTCGCCAAACAGAGAGAGAGAAAGAGAGGAAGAAACGACTCACGTTGCGTTCATTCGATTCGCTATGTGCATTATCCAAGGATAATTGGCCTTCGTAACTGGATCTATATGCTTATTTTCGTAATCAGTTAAATGGTTGATCGTATCGGGATCGGTCATCTACGATGGTGAGAGAGTGATTTATTCGTCCATGTCTGTAAATTTTCCACTCTACCGAACGGATCAGCGGACGCATCATGTTCTTTCGAGAAGCATTCCAACTTCTTTGTTTCCTCTGATCCCTCTTCAAGAGGCGATATCTTATCGATCGACTTATCGCGTCGTATTTATCGACCGAGTCAATTACTTTATAATCCGAAATGAAACGAACGAAGTTTTGCACGTCGCGTACGTTCGCTAATCCTTAAGGTGAGCTCGTGATCGATCGATATAATCAGGAAAAATACCACGAGGCAGGATTTCAACGGCGTGCGTCGAAGATCTCTTCTTCGTCGCGACGAGGGATATAAATTTCGCATTCGTACGCCATATTCGATCGTCCAATTCCCTCGATCCTCCTCGATCGTCTCGTGGAAACGACTGGGTCTGTACACGGAGCTTATCTCCACGACACCGTTCATTCTTTCCTTCGCGACGATCACTTCGCTATCAGGATATACGGCCATGTCTTTCAACGTTTCTCTTTCGTCCGTCGAATCTCCATCGATCGACGATCGATCTCGAAGCAACAGCCATTTTATCGGCGCGGAGAACATACCTGTCCCGTTCGCCTGCGAATCGAATCATGACTCATCGGTCCAATTTCAGGATTCGAGAATATATACGTACCGCTCGCAACAATGGAATCGCATAATCGCAATTCAAATCCAACACGTACAAATCTCGATGCTCCCAAATATCGTGCGTCCGTGCCGCGAATCCATCGAGTTCCCGATGAATCTCGTGAATGAAACGCTTGCTCGACATCTTCTTGGATAATTCGATCGCGTCCTCTGCGAAATCAAAGCGACGATTAACTTTTTCCACTTGCATCAATGCGATAATTCGAATATTTATTATATTTCTTTAGAATATCGCTTCATGAATAAATTTACGTATAAAAATTAATTGATACATAAAATATTAAAATATAAAAGTTTTATACGTTAATTTATGTGTATAAAATCATTTCAAGTTCTAAATCGTCTTGTTGATTCGACCGAACAAAAAAGAATTAATTTCGAACGCGTCTTCTTTCCTCTCTTTTTACCTTGCTCGAGTCGACAGAGATGCAACGATATTCTGACCGGTGGAAATAAAATAGGGATCGCGTCCTCGAGTAATCGGTCCAACGAATCGAACGCGAGCGTTTCTCGAATAATAACGATCGCCACGAACGAGCGAAGAATTCGCGGGACGAGAAGCATATCGTTCGAAGAAATAATCGTGCGATGACTGATTCGGAAAACTTTCGGACATTGCATACACATACACACATCGTTCGTTATCTAAAATATTCACCGGATTTCGAATCGTATTCGGAGAAAAATGCAAGTTGTCGAATAGATAATACCAGAGAGAATTCAATCGATACGATGCTATCCGACACTGCAATTTCGTTTCTAATTTTTTTTTCGAGGAAATTATTAGGTACACAAAAGACATTTCCAAGCTCGTGTACAACGTTACGACGGTGTATCCGTGCAAACGATGTAAATCGAGAATAGAGGCGTGAAGTAGCTACTCGTGTTTCCGATCGATAAATCGGCGAGTCGTAGCGATAAATATCTACGATCGAGACGATTAGAGGTTGGGAAGAGGCAATTTATCCGGGGAAAAATAGTAATCGTGGAGACGAGTGGAGAGATGATATCGGGTAGAAACGGCGCGTGGCAGGAGGATGAGCGCGAGGGGTATATCACCTGGAAGCCATCTCGCTAAGAGACCTTGCGCGCGGTCCTCTCTCATCGGTGTATCGCGTGACGAGTTAGTGATTGACACGTGCGTCGAGCCCACCGCGCAGTCCTAATCGACGGCCGCTCGTTCGTCCGCTCGAGTTAAACGGCCAGGCTTTACGACCGTTCCACCAATCGCATCGCGTCTTCTATCGGTTACGCGTGCACGGGATTACATTGGATTTGGGCGAAAGCTCGCTCGCGCATCACGAGTGCATCATGTATCGACGACGAGTTTGTCGATCCTTCGTCTCGATTCTCTGATTCTCTCTCTCTCTCTCTCTCTCTCTCTTTCCGTTTAAACGGGGAGATGGAACACGAACTCGTGTTCGGAATACGTGATAAATCGTAGCTCGAGCTCTCTGCAAATGGAAGAAAGTCTCGATCGAGTTTTCGCGATTTTAGGTCACGTGAATAATTACGGATCATCTTGTGTTTGGAAAACGCGGTGATGAGCACGAGGTCGAGGCGGGGATCGAGAGAGATAGAGAGGGAATGGAAAACGAATTTCGAAGAGGCGAAATTCTTTGATTTCCCGTGGCGACGATCCGATTCGGGAGAGGCGATATCGACGCGTGGGGGAGGGAGGCGATCGGTGGGGTTCGAATCGCGTGTTCTAATTGGTCGACGTCCACTAGGTGTTCGCGGCTAAGTGTCGCGAGTTCGGCACCGTTTCCAACAGTAGCTGCGAGAGCGACGCGACGCGTCACACTTCGGCGGCCGTTCGCTTTCCTTCGCACCACCTTCGCACCACCGCCACTTTCGTGAGGAAATTCGATCGAGTTTATCGAAGACAACGATTTGATAGATCCCTTCGAGCGGCCAGATGTCCAAGAACGGGATCCCCGTGGATCGCAAGTCCGATCTCAAGAAACCTCCAGAGGTGTTCGAGACCCAAGTTCCCGCGCCATCCGGTGAGTTTTTCCTATATATGTATTTATATATATATATATGTATGTATGTATGTATGTATACGTGTGTGTATATATGTGGATATTCATTTTCGTTTCCGCTTCGTCGAATATCGATCCGTTTATTTGCCGTGTTTCCGTTGTCCGAATACTATAATATACAGGTAAAGGTAGAGAAGAGAAACTACACCAAACTCGAATCGTGAATGTGTTGTTCGTGTCCGTTTTACGTAACGAGAAACGGTTAGGTAGACGGGGTATTTGCATAACCCCGTGAATGTCTTTATGTCTTCGAGTACCACCGATTCGAGAGAATCGGGTACGCCGTGTACGTACAGCGGAGAGGAGAGGAGGGGGAAAAAAAGGGAAAAACAGGAAAGGGGGGAGTCTCCTCTGAAGTTTTCGTCGCTCGTCGAGTCGTTTCTTCAGACGTATCCGATAATGTATCCGTGTACCGCAAACGTTACAACAATGAAACGTCGAGACGAAACGTTTCGCTATCTCGCGTAATCACCTTGACATTTTAAGAATTATGGTGAAATTAACGATAGGTACGTGCCTTGCGGGAGGCTGACTCCGTGCAAGGGGGAGGGGCAAGGGGGGAGGGGGAGTCGCGCTATTGTGTCGCTCGAAATAAATTTTCCTTTCCAAGAAAAAGATACGCGACCGTGGTTTTATCGTTTTTCGCGTTAATCCTCGACGCGATACACAAAGGCGGATTACGTTCGATCGAACGAGCGGTGCAGAGCTATGCTCGTTACCGCGGTAACGACTCGACCGTGTTCCAAGGATATCGCACACGGTCCAGATGCGATCAAGGCCGATCTTTTCGAATCGCGGGGATCGATCGAGGAAAAACCCCCCCGGTAACGCGTTTCATTCTCTTTTTCCGGATTTTTTTTTTTTTTTTTTTTTTTTCTCCTCTCCATCTTTCGAATCTTTCGAATGAACTTTGGAACGTGATCACATATTCGCGTATTTACCAATTATCGCGACTTCTTTCTTATTTTTCAATTACAAGGATCCGAGATATCTTATCCGTCGAACATTCTTGTTTCTACGATACGTCTCGACGATAGTCGCACGCGGCGTGGTCTCGTTTCTTTTCTAATCGTCGCACGTGCGAGCAACGATGGAACAATTATCTAAAAGTGGACATCGAATTTCGAAACAAAGGCGAATCAAGTGGATTCGCGAACGATATCCGTTAGATAGATAGTCTCCCTATCGAGTCGATGATCTACTCTACTCGCCCTCACCCCTCACTCTTGCGAAAATGCGCGCGACGAGTCGCGAACCGCGAGCCTCGAAACGATGTAGGACACGAGGAAAACCGGAATGAACGGGCACCGATAGATAACTCGTTCGATCCGGTTTGAAAATTGTTATAACCATAACAAGCGAGCGTAGGTGTTTGGCGAAAAATATGCGAAAAAACTTTCCCGATCAATTTTGCCTTCGCTGGAATGGAACCGCCGCTTTCGTTCAACTTTCCACGGTGCTTTTCCGATTTCTAATCCTCGAATAATGTTTAAAATAATCTCGGCGGACTAATGATCTGTCGGTAATCGAGCGGATCGATTCGATTCGATAACACTGACACTCGACGAAGAAGGAACAGGCATTTATTCGTTTCAACAACGCGGTCGCTCCCATGTCTAGTTCTTGTGAATAAAACATTACCCGCGCTCTCCTCCGTAATCGTGTTTTCTCCGAGCGAACTAGCGAACGAATAACAAAAGTGTAACCAATAGCAAAGGGGCAACCAGGCGGAAACAATTGATCGGTAGAGCGAGGAATCGGCGCGGAATTCCAATAATCGTCGTATGATCGATCCTTGATAGCGCGAATCAAAATTCTCTGTTTCCCTCGTGCCGATGCACGCGATAACAGGTGTGTATGATCATGTGCGATTTCCAATTGCAAATATCAACTACTATACGTATAGATACGATATTTGAATCTCGACCTATTTCGCCCATTTGGTTCGATAGAACGATGAACGAAATCGCGAAAATCGCAGATTCGGGATTGAAGGAAGGAAGGAAGGAAAGATTTACAAAACGTATTCCAAAACGAAATCGTTTCCATTCCTGATTATTTCCCCAAAGCGGACGCATTACTTTCAATTTCGAGCTTCGTCGAAAGCTTCCGGCGCAGTTACGTTCGCGCGTGCACGTTATTTCGTTCTCCGCTCGAGGCGGACGTTATTTTCCACTTTACTAAGTGAATAACGCGTTTAGGGGCCGAAGCGTTTCCTGTTGACACACACGGGTGCATACCTGATATCGAGATAAACGACTGCATCGAGTTTGCTTATACCGAGGAGGAAATTATTTTCGAAAATCGAGTCAACGATCATTTTTATCTATCGTTTATCCATCGAAACGATTCAAAAATTTGAAAAAAATTATATCCGATACACGATTGATTTGTTTTCTTAATTATCGAGCGTAGATATCCAGAGATATCTTGGTCGATCGAAAAAAATTTATGTTTTTATTACCGACCGACGTTCGTCCGAAACGAACTTCCGTTTCGTCCAATAGTTGGTAATAGACGCGTCGATTCTTCCTTATCGACGCGTTATTGAATTCAAATCGTACGAATCGTTACGTAACGATACGATAAAAAATGGAAACGTGTTACGTGTTTCTCGAAAATCATGATTCTCTATTTCGATGATCGTCGATGTAATAATTAAATAATTACGTCCAAAAATCGAATTCGTTCGATCGTCGTTGGACAAACGACGGGGAAATACTCGAGTGTCGAATAGTCGATACTACTCGATACGCGTGTTTCGCACGCACTTATCGCACGTGCTCGTAATGCAATAGATTTTTGGCACGCGATATCCACGATGCTATCAATAACCCATCGCGTATCTTTTATTTTCGCAACTCGCAATGACGCGGTTAATACAAATTTTTAAATGTTCAAATATCCCTAGCATAAATAAATATATCGCTTCGTTCGATTTCGGAGAATCTATGACGTGACACTTCATTCGACACGAAACGTGAAAGTCATCGACAAGCTTGCAACGTTTCATCAAATTACGTTCGTAAATGAAATATCGGCGCGACCTTGTTGTTAATCGTCGAATCAATGTTTTGTTAAATAAATGGGATACGAGCGTCTTAACGATATTATGACTCACCGTATTTCTCAAGTTTCATCATGATAAACAGAAAATTCATTGGACTGATAGCGAAAAAAGAAAAAGAAAAAAAGAGATGAAAAAATATTTTTTCGATCTTGAGCAATAGATCCTCGTTAATAGTAATAATCCAGTGCATGACGTGATAGCGATTACGGCATTTTCAAATATCATCATGATCAGAAAGATAAGAAATTCCAAGGGTTACGTGAGGATTATGATATCTCGTTGATCGCTAAGATAAGCAATGGCAATCATATCGTACGTAGGCGGCGATATAATAAAGCGATAATTTTGCCGACAATTTTTTCCGATTACGTAATTTTCTTACGTAGATACTTGAGGACGAAAATATTTTGTCTCGACCAATATATATATATATATATATATATATATATAATACTTATTTATACTTAAAAAAGAAAACACATTGCGAATCGTAAGTCGGAAAAGTAAAGGATCCTTGCAAAACAGCACGGAATTCGAACAAATATTCTCGGGAGACGTTTGTCGCGAGGGGGGGAATCGATCGCAAAATTGTCGACGATGCGATTCGAAATTACAGCGCGAAGAGGAAGGTGCGTTCGCGCGCAATTCTCCGATTGGTGGAATCGAGTTGTGAACGTCAGATGGCGCTGGTGCGTCCAACGAGAGGAAGGGATTGACAATGCTCGCGCGACGATTGGTCGAAAAGACCTAATTGCTCGGACGATTCGCTTCGTCTCACCGCTCCCCGCCATTCCCCGTTGGGTTCCATGATTCCCGGCTTCACACCGACCGAACTAGCATGAAGGAGAAAAAGAGAAAGAGGCAGGTGCGTGCTCGCTTCTGATCACGGGATCGTTGTTAATCATCGTTATCGGTGTACCACGAAACCGTCAACCGATTCATAGCGACGAGAAACCGATATTATTGTCGCACAGTGAGTGTTGGGTAACGCCCGGACAAGTATTTTGGTAGAATCATCGCGGTATCATCTTTGTCGCCGTCGTCTTTGTCGTCGTCATCGTGCAAACTAAGAGCCTGGTGTTTGCCGAAAGATTGCGCGCAACAGTGTTGATTTTCCCCAACTACCAATAAGAAGAACATAGCGAACCACTCTATATCTCTGTGTTGAAAGCGGCACGCAAGTATATACTTATACACAGTGTCTTCTCTCGCTTCGCGACAACCTATTCGAAGCAGGGGATCCTCCAATCGGAAATTGCAGAAACTTGGTATTTGCTTCTACATCTTCTTTAGCGTTCGTATTCGAGATTCAGGAATAACGAACTAACGGATATATCGTTTCCGTATCGTGTCGCGTGTGCGTAGAGCGCGTGTCAAGCGTGCAATGAACGGCAACGGCAGACCTCATGGAGAGAACAGAGGACGAAATGGCCACGTGCTTGTGTGGGAACAACCTGGCCTGGAGGAAGAGGAGTCACCTGCGCGAATACGTAAAAGTACGTCAACCTCGCGCAATCTTTGACCTCGAAATTCCGCAACTTTCTGTCCGAGTTTCTGCTTATCTTCACTCTCGAGGTCGTATCTCTGTCATAGATCGAAACTAGTTTACGAAACTTGATGTATCCTATAAACCACGCGTCGAACCACGTGCTCCCGCCGTCATTCTTCGCTCTCTTCCTCATTTACGCTGAGGTATGTTCTCTTCCTTTCCCTTTCTTCCTTTACTCTTCTTTATATATATGTATACGTATACTACGCGTATGTGTTGACGCGTCAAATTTAAAACTCGAATGGTAAAAAAAGAAAGAAAAGAAATGAAAATTGCTCTATTCCTAATTCGACTCGACCGTGGTTTCATGATTAAAAAATTATCAGCATAGAGACACAAACGACTTGAAACAACGTGTGTGTGTGTGTGTGTGTGTGTGCGCGCGCGCGCGCGCGTGTGTGTATATATATATATATATCTTGTGCTGTATGCGTTATGTTGTAATAATTTTTTTTTTTTTTTCATATATAGAATTCATTGCATTCGATCGTGTTAAAATTGCGTTTTGTTTTTTTCATATATAGAAAAAAAAATGTTCGCGAAGAATGATGAATAGAAAATGCGATCGTTTGCAGACTTTGATATTTGTTTCATGACTCTGTGATCAAGTCTTGACATCGAGAATAGAGGCAATGTAACTTGGTTGAACAGTCGACTGCTCGAAACACGAATCGATTCACAGCAAAGATCGCGCGACCAAGCGTCACGTGCGCGACTCGACCGCGCCTCTTTCTCCACTCCCTCACAATCGCCGTTACTTCGAATAGACGGACGACAATAACGTCAGCTCGTGGTACATAGCTCGCCGAAGTTATTTCTACTGAATACGATTGACCACGTGCTCAGTGGATGCTCAATGATCGCTAACCACGTGCATTCTCAACTTGAAATAAGGAGAATCGAGAAGAACACGATGATCGTGCATGAAATATATACGATCGAAAATATCGAAAGAATTTGATTAGCTCGATCGATTATCAAGCGCGACTCTTTAACCCTTACGATCGAGAATTTGCTTTCGATAAATTGCGCTCGACGAATGAATGACGCGACGAGAATCACGTTCAAATAGCAGAACGTAAACTGAACGGGACGAGGGAAGGGACGGTGGGAGATGATCAAAGTTCGTATGCCCAAAAAAACTCGTGACATATTTATACATATTTTTCATATAGCATTACAGACTTCGGTCAGAGAAATTCGCGGAAATAAACAACGATATATAAACGAATTTGGATTGTGGCGCGTGCAAGGAATATACGATTCACGATCTCGTTTAATTTCTCGTTGAGCGAAAATCGGCCATTCACTGATAATATTATCTATTCAAGAAAAAATCGTCGCGATAATCGTTTCTCCGTGCAAAAATAAATCTTACATCGATTCTATTATTAAGTCGCAATATTATCTCGACATCTCGTCGCAGGAGCATCGCGTTATAAATAACCGATGCGTAACTAGTTTGAACGAGTCGAGCATGGACGGAATCGCGGTTGCCAAATCGGAGAAAGGGCTAACCGCGACGCGAGACGCTTTTCCGTCAATGGGCAGCCATCGGTGCGATGCGATTGTCCGCTCGACCTTGTCCGCTCGTGCGGATAAAACTGCTGCGTCCTTGGCGTCCTTCCATGACAGCGTCTCGCTGTTCCGCGCCCATTCATTCTTCCTTTTTTTTTTTTTTTTTTTTTTTTTCTTTCAATATTGCGCGCCACTGTTTATTATTCCATTATTTCGACGGAACGTTTGTTTTTCCCATTGTTACGCAAATCACGATCGTTTAAAGCCAATTCACGTAATTAAGATACAGAATTTTAATTTCGTAATATCTATCATCACGAAACGACTCGAATATAAACGATTCGAATTCTATCGATAATAATCCTTTTTCCAATATATTATTATTAAATATATCTAATCGTTGAATTAATGAACGATCGTTCGATGTTGTAGCATTGGTGGGGTCGCGTCACATAGTGACACTGATGTTGTTCTTCGGTATGGCGAATGCTTATGTGATGAGAACGAATATGTCTGTGGCGATCGTCGCAATGGTCAATCACACCTCCATCACGGTGAGCAAGGAACCTGTGAAGAACGAGTGCGGGCACGAGAATGCGAACAATGATTTTTCCACCTTAGCCGTAAGTACGACGCAAAATTATTTTGGCTTGCGAACGATCGCAATGCTGTTCTCTGTGCTTCCTTCCTTATCTCGATCGATCCTTCCTAATCAACTGATCCTGCGTACAATTCCTGAAACCCAATAGGTATATCGCCAGTATTTCTTTCTTGTGTCACAGAACCATGACGGAGAGTTTCATTGGGACAGCACCATGCAGGGTTACTTGCTCAGCTCGTTCTTCTACGGTTACGTCATCACGCAAATACCATTCGGAATACTCGCGAAACGTTACGGATCGAAATACTTTCTTGGCATCGGTATGCTGATCAATTCGATGTTTGGACTGCTGGTCCCTGTGTCCGCACGTGCCGGTTACCATTGGCTGATGATCGTTCGATTTATTCAAGGTTTGGGCGAGGTAAGCGATTAAATCTCGCATCTCCTTTCGATCTCGCATCGCACCGTGGTCCGCCCCCCGCCTTTTTTTTTTCTCTCTCTCTCTCTCTCTCTCTAATTTGACCGACCCGATCGGAAAGGATAGAAAAAGTCTTTAATATCTTTCTCGTTGAACGCTTTTTGATCGTTCGGGTGTATTTCCTGCCCCTAGGAATGGATTATCCCTATTGCAGGGTCCTATTGTGCCTTGCACACACGCGATGCTGGCCAAGTGGATACCGCCTAATGAACGTAGTAGAATGGGAGCCTTCGTATACGCTGGTAAGCTCGTTCGTTTCGACGATATCTTTCCGATTCTTTCGACCTGCGTAGCCTTGTCGCGTCTATCACCACGGTAAACTACTGGGATCTACCGGAAAAAACGACACTACCTCCCCCTCCTCCCCTTTCTCTCCCTCTTCCATCTCCTTCTTTTTCCTTTCCTTTCTTATATTTACTTCTATTATCTTGTCTTAATTCACGTGTAAATTAAATGCATTATTATATAATGTTATATTATATTCTATACATCTTGTATTCCTATAATGTAGGCGCTCAGTTCGGTACTGTTATTTCAATGCCTTTGAGCGGTGTCCTGTCACGGCATGGATTCGATGGCGGCTGGCCCTCCATCTTTTACGTATTCGGCGCCGTTGGCACCATCTGGTGTATAGCATTTCTACTCATGATCTACGAGGACCCGGAAAGCCATCCTCGTATAGCCGAAGACGAGAAGAAGTACATCCTGAGTGCCTTGTGGGGCAACGCCGGAGCCTCTGTGAGTTTTCCTATTCATATATTATATTATTATATATTTTCCTATATTATATTTAATGCAGTAAAATTTTTAAACTTCTCGCTTCCTATTTTATCGACTTATTCTACGTACGTTTTTTTTTACCAGTCTCCACCAGTGCCATGGTTTTCGATCGTTACATCGTTACCGTTCTGGGCCATCCTTATAGCACACATGGGTCAAAATTACGGATACGAAACGTTGATGACCGAGCTACCGACATTCATGAAACAAATCTTGAACTTCGACATCGAATCGGTAAATAAGAGGATGGGAAGGAGGAAGTAAGTGCAACGAGTATCGAGTACAAAAATTCTATTGAAATTGTGTTTCAGAACGGCACCGTTTCCGCCCTTCCTTACCTAGCCATGTGGATATTCTCGATGTTGATCTCTCACGTGGCCGACTGGATGATCTCCAGCGGAAAATTCAATCACACGTTCACGCGAAAAATCGTGAACAGTATAGGTCAGTTCGGGCCAGCGATCGCCCTAGCGGCCGCCTCCTATACGGGATGCAATTCCTGGTTGACGGTCACCATTCTCACGATCGGCGTAGGATTGAACGGTGGTATCTATTCCGGATTCAAAGTAAATCATTTAGATATCTCGCCGAGATTTGCCGGCATCTTGATGTCCTTTACCAATTGCTTGGCCAACTTGGCCGGTTTATTGGCGCCTATCACGGCCGGATACATAATCGTTGGACCGGTAAGCGTAAGAGTAGATTAATGGTCGTCGTGGAGAAACGTCATCAACGCTTATTTGCTGTTCCCCTCTTTCAGCCAACTCATGCTAAATGGAGGCTCGTCTTCATGATCTCGGCCGGCGTTTACATCGCCTGTGCCACGTTTTACGTGATATTCGGCTCGGGACAACGGCAACCCTGGGACAATCCTGACAAGGACGAAGAGAGGCAACACGAGAAACAAGACTTGCGATGCGTTAAAACTGTTTCCGAAACGCAGCATTGACGAGATAGCACGCGCTAGTTATCTTCCCGCGCCCTCCTCCACGTGTTTTTCATTCTGCGTCAATCTCATTAACTTTTTTCATTTTTTCAACACGACCGTGCTGAAGAAGAATCCGTTTTCGATTGTCTCCTTCGCTTCTTCTCTCCTCCGTCGATCGCGTATTGTTGTTCGTCTCGGTCGGTAATCTCGAATGATTAGAATTTGATTTGGTGAAAAAACGTTGATGAAAAAAGAATCGTCAGGAGTCGTGTTGTACATGAATCCTTGAACGTTAGACGAAATCCTAGATGCGAGAAAGAAGAAACGAACGCGAATATTATATTTCGAGCAAATTGCACTCGCAACAAGAATCGTTCTAATTTCTTTCTCCTTTTTTTTTTTTTTTTTTTTTTTTTTTCGCTCGTATGCCAATTTAAAACGCGCGCAAATATTTTTGCTTGTAAGATAATCAAGTTGAAAATCACGATCCTACGTCAACCACGGATTAAAATTAAAGAAAAGACACGTGTTTTCAGATGTGTGTACACGTATTTGTGCATTGCGTGCTTGCGTGTCAGTACGAGAGACACGGGAAAGGAGAGAATGATAAGCGTGTGAGAAAGTGAGCGAAACGAAAAATAGAAAGCAGATGTAATTTTACGTATTTTATAATAGTATCTTTTCTTTTTTTTTTTTTTTTTTTTTTTTTTATTTAATTACTGAAATTACGTGCCTTTCGATCAAAGAATATGAATAATAAAAGATCAAATCGACACGTTAATTTCCATTATATTGTATAGAAACGGGTGGCAATAATAGGCCAGGGGAAGGAACGATCGATCCAAATTTTCATTTTCTTATCTCTTGTGATTGTGTACTGAATTTGTGGATCGCGCATTCCTTCCTTTTTTTTTTTTTTTTTTCCTTGATCAAAAGTAGTAGTGTTCGATATCACAGTCAATCGTGCTTTGCGAAAAATGCGATGCGTTCGAAACGCATAACGTCCGTATACCCATTTATATTACGAGGAAACGGAGAAATACGATAACAGTATTAGAGCAAATATCCTCGCATCTCTTCGGTCTTCGTCTTCGTTCGTTACTTGCCATATGTTAGCATAGCGAGCAACTGCCATTTTGTATTGTTAGATCGACATCGATCGCGAAAAATATGGCGAATCGATTGCGAGAACATTCGAGAATTTTTGATTCGTTATTGATAACATGACGCAATACAATAATGGTTTATAAATATTGTACATATTTTTACGTATAGGTTTCTATCGAATTGCACGACTTAGACAACTTTTTTTTTTGCTCCTCTTCTTATTTATGCAAATGTGTACAAAATAGAATGAAAGGATACGAAGAAAGAGAAAAAGACAGAAAAAAGAGAGTGAGAGAGAGGGAGAGAAAGATAGAGAGAGAGTAGTATTAAGCGTGTTAGAGAAAACATTCAAAATAATTATATTTGTAGTGGAATGCATTTTCTTTTTTTAATTATTGTTATTATTATTATTATTATTAATTAATTATTATTATTATTATTATTATCATCGTTGTTATTATTGTTGGTATTATTATTATTATTATTATTATTATTATTATTATTAGGAATAGCAGTAATAGTAGTAGTAATACTAGTAATAGAAATAGTATTCATCATCATCATCATCATCAGCATTAACATCGTCATCATTGATATAATCGTCGTACGACTGAGCACCAAAGCAAAAATATCCGTCTTTGTTTTGCTTCTCTTTCTTTTTACTTCCGTACATGCAGGTCATCGTTACGGGTATTTCTTGTCGATCGATTACTTTTGAATTTACGTAAGTTCGTATTCGATGTGTACGCGAGATGCTCGAACGCGATAATAATATTTCCTATCCTCGCCTTCAAGCGAAAATTTGTCCGTGACATCCAACATAGAATGTACTCGATATCTTTCAAATTATCTAATCGTATTTCTGTTTATTATTATATATATTTTTGTCTAATCGATCTTTGATCGTATTGATGACATCCTTGATTGAACAGACAGGAATCGGTTTAAAGTACCTGCGTCTTTTTGTGATCTTTCTATTTTAATTATATCATCTATATCTTTGTCCAAAGTTATTACTAGATTCGTGGTTTACTTTAATCATTGTTACAGCAAAAATAACCGATTATTCAATAGAATTATCAATTCTAAATTTTACGTGCGTGAGGATATTTTAAGTTGTGATCATGGATTAAATGCTGGTTTAATCAAAATTAATTTTGTACTTTAATTGTTAGATTATATGTAACTACGTATATATATATATGTAAATATATATACGTGTGCTATGTATATATGTGCTTGGTATGTGCCAAAGTGCGTATATGCATTCATGCGTTACCGATGATCGCGATAAAAAAATTTATACTCGCAAAATTTTGAGAAATAATTCTCGAGATATTATGTAGACAATTGTAAAACAATCGATATTTTTATACAAATATTTGTGACTATTGAGCGGCCAAGACTGATGCAATCTCTTGGGACCGTACGTAATTGTCTTTCATATTGTCGAAATTATAAAAGTATAATGATGTACACACGGGTAAATAAAATATAGTCGTTCGACAATTATATTCATTGTGTCATTGGTTAACTTGATTTCTGATTCATTTTTTATAATTTAATCATTTTTAATTAATTTAATCTAATTAATTTTAAAAAATCAAATCTCAATGCAAAATCAAAAATTAAATAAAAGAAATTATACATATTCGTTTATTTCAACCACAGACTATAGATACTATAGAATATATATATTCTATACATATCTATAGTCTGTGGTTGAAATGGACGAACATGCATATGTGTTAATGCATTCTTGTTGCAGTTTATGGACTACATAATCTTTATTATTTGTACTTTACGTTAAATGCAGTATTATTTACTCACAATAATGGAATAAGATTAAAAAAGTATTACTGAAATTGAAATACACGTATATTTACACACATGACGAATGAAATTTAATTAAAATTTATAATTTTTAATACATACTTAGATAATTCTATTATAATGCATATGATATTTCGTATAAAATATGTACAAAATATTCATCTACTGATGATATAACGATATACGATATATAAAAATATTGTTCGTACATTGGACGAAGATTGAAAAATTTCAAGATTACTGCCATCTCGTGTTTGTATATTAAAATTAGGAAACTATCCTATCCTAATGAATGATGTAACGAATGATGTGAGCGCGCACGTCACGGAAAATTTCCTATTCTATGGCGGATGATGTGGACATACGTCATCAATCATACAACTTATTTTGCATGTGAACAGACGTTTATGATGTTCGATAGATGGTCAATTTTTACTCCATCTCTCTCATTATTTGCTGTGTTTCATTTGCAAATGATGACTCTGAAAATGATGCTAACTTTAATATTTTTATTTTATGTATATTCTTCCATTAGTAGTCTCTTTGTCTATATTTGTTCTTGGCGCATAATTATAAACAAGATGAATGGGATATCAATTTAATATATTTCTTCGTTTTCCTTTTGAAAACGTACAATTGCGTTTTAATCTTTAATTTTAAAAATATCTAAGTCTATATCAATCATTTGAATGAAATCATCTAGTAGTGGATATGATTCATATAGAATCACGATATGAATATGATATCTCGTTTATTACTTTTATGCGTTTTGATATTCTCAATTAGACATTTCATTAATTATATATTAATTCTTTTTAAATACCAATAATATCATCAATCATTGGATTAAAAGAAAACTGGCTTTAATTTATCAACATGATAATTAAACATTTTCTCGTAATGCTTGCGTTTCTTCTTTAAACTTACGCTCAATAAAAAGATAATAAACTTAATCAAATAATAGAAGCAGTTTCTTAAGCCTGTAAATTTTACAGAGCAAATATAGAAAAGGAAAGGAAATAGTGAGACAAAGACAGAAATAGAGTAAAGATATTGAAATCAGCGTCATCTTCAAAATGCTGTAAACGAACACATAAAGTAAGGATAGAAAATAATGGAAAAAGTTTAAAAATAGAATAAGAATCGCCTTACAGCGCTATCTCTTGGATATCAAAAACATCTCTTTAAGATTAGCGTTATCTTTGGAATACTTCTTCAGAAAAAAGTTATATATTTTTAATAGAGATGGCGCTAATAGTTAATTCTTGCTCTATGTCTGTCTCTCTTTTATTTTTTTCTGTCCTTTCTTTGTGTATTTCATTTGTGGCACTCTGAAGATGGCGTTGATTCCAGTATTTTTATTCTATCTCTATCTTTTTCCTATTATTTTCTCTCCTTGTCTATATCCATAGGTATTCCGTAAAATATATATATTCAAGAAACGATTTCAATACCTAATTTATTGTCTTTTTAATCTGGTCTATTGATTAAAAATCAAGCATTTTATTTTTATATATTTTATACATATTTATTTCTATATATTTATCTATCATATATAAATATATATATATATATATATATACACGTATATATAGTTTACATTCTTTTATATGTTAGATTTATATATATTTTATATATGTATGAATTTATTTTCTATGTAAGGAATATATAGATTTTTTGACTTTTTCAACTTTTCATAAATGGAGTTCGAAATCGACTTTCAGCATTATTACTATATATAGTGTGTAACGAATATATAAATATTCTGATTTTTTGTGCGATCGGTATTTCAGAACATGAGACACAAAGTTCTATTAAACATTACATCTTCTATTCTATACTTTATCTGTGGTCTTACTGTCGTCGATCAATTATCAAAACAGGATGAATAAGATTAATATATATTCGCGATTCATTTCACAACGGTAAGTATTATCCTATTATTCTCACAGTTATAAGTATTCCGATTTATGTTCAATTTTTCAATGTATATTTGTCGTGTTTGTGCCAACTTGTTTAACCATTGTACTTGTTCTGAGTATCTATACAAATTTTTAGGTTAGTTTTATGTGTTCTCTGCGTCGTTAAAGTAATTACATTTTTTACGATTTTTTACGAAGTTGAATCATATGTTCGTATTATGTATTTTTTATAAAAAAGACTTAAAACATTTAATTTGAAAAAATTATAAAAATAAAAAAAAAGATAAAGATGAAAATTTTTATTACAGATAAGAAAGAGTAGACACAATGCAAATAGGATTGATAATCGTACAAGTGATCGCAATCGCGATTACGGTAAAATGCAGCGATATTACTTCTGCGGTATTCGGAAACGTATTAGACGGCATGCCAGCCGCTTTCGGTGATTTTAATTCCGATGAATTGACTGATGTGTTCATGTTACGTAAAAATGGTACGACTGTTGAAATTTTTCTGGCCGCTGAACAAGAGCCCCTTTTGCGACCAAGCTTTGACTTAAGTTGCACGTTTCGTCGTACAGTCGTTGGTGTGGTGCCAGGTGATTTTGATGGAGATGTATTTATGGACGTTCTAGTGATCACATTCGACAAGGAAACGAAATTGTCGTACGTATACATACTATGGGGTGGAAATGGTCGATTGAATTGCACGAACGAAAAACATCCTCTGCTTAACATGACAGGTCAACCATTAGCTCTTGATTACAATGGCGATATGATAATAGATTTATTTGGCTTGAACAATGAGAACAAGCGTACATTTTGGGTGTTCAATCAAAGCAGGAAAGCACCGACAGCTATACCGATGAATACATCACAAAATGCACCGATTAGTCAACCTCACTCGAATGCTTATCTCGACTTAAACAACGACTTTTTAGCGGATCTAGTTGTCACTACAAAGAAATATTTTGAAATTTGGCACGGAGTCGAGCAAGGATTTCAATTTCACAAACCGATATCGTTCCCCTATGGCATAACATTGGATAATTTTAATGGTGTGCTTGGACAAACGCTCTATTTGGATGTCGAATTAACGGGCAAAATGTCTTTGCTTTTGCCTCTCTGTTTCGATGATGCATGTACAAATAGTACAATCATGATGTATTCCGATGTACATGGTACATCTGATAGATGGTACAATCTGAAAGTAAATTTCAGAGATGGGGATAACGTGTTGTGGGGTTTCGTGAAACCTGATGGACAACGATACACTGATACCATCACTCTTCGTGGCGGTGATTTCAACATGGACGGTTATCCGGATTTGTTAGCTACGTTAAAATCGACCACTGGAAAACAAAAACGTTCTTATCTATTAGAGAATGTCGCATGCGATTCGTGCGTTGGATTCGCTAGAAAGTTTGAAGTTAAATGGCAAGCGTTGAATCCATTCCACAATGAAACCTCTATGGCGGTATTTTATGATTTTTATCAAGACGGTATTTTAGACGTGATCTTGGTGGAGTTGGAGAAAAGTAGCAACACTTATCGTACAGTTGCGTTTAAAAATAGTTTAGATTATGATGCAAACTTTGTCAAAGTGATGGTATTGACAGGACGTAACAACAGTATGTATCCAATTTCCCCGGGTTCGCTTGGCAAGAAAAAAAGAACGTACGGAACGAATCTTCCTGGTCCATCGATAGCCTATCGAACCACCACTCAGGACGGCAGTCCGCGAAACGCGATTGCTGCTCAATTGCCGCAGAGCGCACATTTCTCTCTCAATTTACCTTACACGACTTTTGGTTTGGGTAGAACGCCCAATTTTGTCGACGCTCTCACCATTGGGGTAAATATGTTTGCGAGCAATTAATACAAATTTTTTACCAATTCATACAAGACTTTGTTTACTTTATAGGTTGGTGGAAAATCACGAGAATGGCCGCAAATTATTCCCAACTCTCAGATGGTGGTAATTCCAAATCCGATAGCGGAACCTTGGCGATGGAAAGCCCAATTATTCGTAACACCTAGTAAATTAATTTTGCTTAGCGCTGCCGCATTGACCGGCACCTGTGGTTTAATATCCTTGATTATCATCGCTCTGTATTGGAAAGAGCGAAGAGAAGACAAGATCGAGAAACTTCAGGAAGCACACAGGTTCCACTTTGATGCGATGTAAAGGTCCGATGTAAAAATCCGTTGAGTATCTTTAAGAAAATTGTATTTAATGTAATAATTTAATGTAATAATTCGATAAGTTATTCCGTTAATCGATAAATAAATAGATAATTCGTTAAATTAACAAATATACAAACATCTACAAAGAAATGACCGAGTGAACAAATAAATGTATACATATGATTGGACGCGATGTATCATATAAATCGATATGATTAATGGTACTCGTGTAGGTAGGTAGGTGTAGATGTGTGTGTATGTGTGTGTGCGTGTGTGTATATGTGTGTGTTGCAATATGTTTAATTTAAAGAAACTTTGGCGGTATTTTGTACAATAAGTTTCTGAAATATATCGCGCACTCTCTTCGTTTCAGATAGAAAATCGTCGTGATTAATAAAATTGACAATTTATTGATTTCTCTTGGACATTTTTATAACACAGGACCCGTTGCTTAATCTTGCATCATAACCGATGCATCGAGTGCGAAATATATACTTACAATAATAATAATATATATATATATATTTATATATATATATTAACAAACGATCTTTGCCGGCATGATTTTGGTCGTTGCACTACTCGCGACACACGCTGTAGATTGAACCAATTTAAATGAGATTCACTACTGACAACGATCGTTTTTAATGGCAGGGTTTAAGTCGTTGAAATAGGGATGCGCCATTGCTTCATCCGCTGACAATCGTAACGCTGGATTACACACCAACAACCTCTGAAAAGGTAAGAACCAAGCAACGGTAAAAATTCGAAAAAGAGAAACAAAAAATTTCGATATATCAATATATTTAAATATAAAAAGTAAAGTACGAAGTGCATTAATTTGAACATTTACCTGCAATAAATCTCTGCCTCTGGAATTAAGTTTTGGCGTAACTTGAGCCAATCCTTGAGCGGGATGATAAAGTGGGAAAGGTTTGTAATCTGGAAGAGTTGTAAAATCTGGCCACGTTTCTTCGGTCGGTGTACCCAACATCTTAAATATTCTCTTTAATTGATCGTCCACATCCGAACCGGGAAACAAAGGTCTACCGGCGTTTGCTAGCTCTAAATAATTCAAATTGGCAACCATGTATCATCCGTCATTATTTCTGTCATTTTTTAAGATTACTTACCAGCAAATATACATCCGGCACTCCACATGTCAATGGATGTTGTGTACAATTTCGCTCCAAAAAGAACATCTGGCGGACGGTACCATAATGTTACAACTTCCGCTGAATAACATTTTACGGGAATTCCAAAAGCTCTTGCTAGTCCAAAATCGGCCAACTTCAACTCGCCATTCTAAACAAAATGTAAAAAAAATACAAATGTTGGAAGATGTTTTTTTCAAATCAAATGGAATTGGTAAAATCGTACCTTATTAATAAGTAAATTTTGTGGTTTAAGATCTCTATGTAATACATTTCTACTGTGACAAAACGCCAATCCTCGTAATAATTGATATCTGAAGAAAGATAAAATTTGGTGCGTAAAAATATTTTAAATGTTATACATGTATGTAAATGATATATACATATATAAAATAAAAGAATTATAGCGATACTTTACAAAAAGGATTTGACGACATCCAAATCGATCTCTCCGTTTAAACTGTCAAAATATTTCTTCAGATCCTGATCACAATGTTCAAAAACCAAAGTCAATTTTTTATCACTATGCAACACATCATACAATCTTACTACATTTTTGTGTTTCAATTCTTTTAGCAAACAAATCTCTCTGAGTGCGGACGACGGTACACCCTATATGTAATAGAGGGAAAAAATCGAATTCAATATGAAAGAAATGGAAATCGAACAAATTTATAATTATAAAACTCACTTCATCGTCTTCGTCTAGTCGAACTCTCTTTAAAGCAACGATTTCGAGGGTCTCGCGATTCTTAGCTTTGAAAACGGTTCCATAAGTACCTGAAACGCAATAAATGCTTGTTTAATCGTGACATATTTAACAGAATCTTATCTTATTATACTATAAGAATAGATTTTCAAGAATAATCGATCGTTTTTTTTTTTTTTTAATGTTTGCATTTGGATTGAGAGTTTAAATGATAAAAATAGTTTTTTAATACACTGATTGAGGCCAGAATACGAATATTACCACACTGTCTGACATTTTATTCATCAACGATATAGAGAAATAATTGATAAAAATACAGAGTTACAAATAATCGGGAAAGAATCGATGCGATTAAACGATTGTTACTTACTCTGTTTCGTTCAAATACAAGAAGAATCGCGATAATGATGCGTCGTCGTTCGGTTGTCAAAAAATACACATATACACAGAAATACATAGAATTCGGAACACGTTACGAGAATCCGTATATAAAAATAAGCGGAATAAAATCGTAGAAAAAACAATGGCAAAATATAACGAATAATTGAGGAAAGATAGACGCTCACCTTCTCCTATTTTCTCGAGTTTCTCATATTTTTGCATATTTTTGGCGATTCGTCGGGCGGAATAATGAAGAGTGGTTAGCGCTGCACTCGAAACAGTCGTGCGCGAACACACCGCTAGAAGTGGCGCCACAAGCGTTTATCAGCGTGACGCTTCACTAGGATTTTTGTGAATCGATCTCCGCGCTGTTTTCAAATCGATATATAACGATTCATTCGTCCCGGATACGACTTTTGAACAATCTTTAACTCGATCGAATAACACAAATGATTTTACCTATAATATTATTATAGGTAATTATCTATATACACGACAATGTTCACGCCGATATAAGAAACGATATAAATCAAACAAAATATAATATAACGAATGCACGCTAATGATCGAAATATAGCCTAGCCTATCATTATCATCAACAATATACATATATATGTACATATTTTGAAATATATATACATATTGAACATATTATAAGTAGATGTGTAACGTGTATGTTATTGTTATATATATATATATCACAATATGAGTGTCACGGATCAATGTAATAATTCTAACACATGCAAACTCGTATATACGTGTTAAAAAATACAACGTAGCTGTACTTTATTAATATCATAATATGTGCATATTATAAAGTGTAACGCATATGCGGAATATCCATAATTTTTAGGGTGATATATATATATATAGGAATATATCGTAAAATTATATCGAAGTTAAAACAAGTACATCGGCCAAAACATTTATTTGATATTTTTCAAAAAGTACACCATTCGTATGGACATTATATCGGAAATAAATGAATATAAAGCGAAATTGAACGAAAAAGAAGGAGAAGAGGAAACGATTAGAAGTAGATATGTAGAAACACGCTATACAAGTAGGTTACATATTACGATTATACACAATGGTTTTAAAACCGCCTTTTTTTTTTTTTTTTTTTTTTTTCTACTATTCTTTATTAAAGCAGAATATGACAAAGGACGGTACGGCAATAATATGGACAATTCACGCGGAAATGGAAGATTTTTACCATCTGAATGTTAAATTTGAGATACTCGAAATGAAGTTGATCGGGGAATGGTTGAAAGTTAACAAGGAATTCGTATTTTGTTTCAACGACAAACTTCCGATAGATCCGACAGGAAAAAGATCGCGTCGACAACGATACTATGGGAGAAAAAAAATGTTTGCGTCGTTCAATGATTGATCGGAACGTAATGTTCTTTTGTCCGGATGAAAAAATTTTTTAAACGGTAAAAGAAAAAAAGAAAAAGAAATAGAAAAAGAAAAAAAAAAAAAAAGAAGAAGAAAAGGATGCAACTCGCGGAGCAATTACTCGGCAGCGCGATTCCAATGCTGACCAACCTGGTCATACTGTTGTACATTTGTCAACGCGTAAGCCTGCTATCTAATTAATCGCAACCTGTGAATCGAATAAAAATCAAAAAAAAAAAAAATTCTAACCAGGATAAATACGCTTACAGTTTTTAGCGGCTACGATGTTGCGACGCAGGATCATCGCTGAGATGAGAGAATTTTCCACGATCGTAACGTATATTCGATGGTGATCCGATCGATCGATCGATCGCACGCCAATTCCCCTCCCCTCCCCCCTAGCTTTCCGTGTGTCGACAGGTCCGTCGGGCGCGCGACAACCTCCGCTACATCGGCGAACGAGTGACCAAGGGAATGGACGAGGTGAGTATACACGCTAGTAATCTAATCTAATCTTCACGAATGAATTTCGATCGTTTTTCTTCCCCCCCCCCCTCCCCCGGCCCTCCTTCCCTTTCCCAGATCAAGGAGGATATCGGAAAGGAACTTCGAGTCACCGATCGGTTGACGACGCAGAGTTCAAAATTGGAGATGGTGTTACGACGATTTGCGAGTCTCGAGGAGAACGTGATCGAGGTATATATCGGGTTATAGATCGGACTCGATATCGAGAATCGGTATCTTTCTCTCACCCGATCGATGGTGAACAGATGGTGCGAATGGATCGGAACCGAGAGAGCGTGAGGATCGAGACACCGATGGACGTGGGCACGGAGATCGAGAGGATCGTCGCTGCCGCCGAGAGAAGAAGCATGGAGAATCGGGAGGATTCGCTGATGTCGGAGGTGGACAGGAGAGAGGGAGCCCGGAACCCTGTGTCCAAATTTTCCGCGTGCGGGCCTCGTGAAAATATAGGGAGAAAAGCTATGTCGGAAGGTCGAGCTCGGATAGTCACGACGCCAGAGGTTCGCCTTCTCGGCGAACCGCAGCCAAAAAAATAAATTGTCCGTTTTCAAGCAAGCAAGCGTCATCGAAAAAATTATTATTATTATTATTATCCGTGAGGAGGGAAAAGGATAGAGAGGGGGTTTGATCGATATTGTCGAAACGAAAAGAAAAGAGAAGAAAGGGAAATAATAATAGTAATAATAATAATAATACGGGAGATAAAAATTCTTTCAGCCAAATCGTCTCATCGCCGGGCCACCGTTCATTCTGTGACCCGTGGCCAAGTAATTGGCCAATCTTTTCACGAATCCGCTCCAACCGACGCGATCTATCTCGTCCAAGTTTCGCTTGAAGAAATTATCGAAAGCCGTCCGGTCGATCTCGTCTATGTTCCGCTTCTCGAAACGTTCGAGCGTTTCCCTCGGCTCGGACGGCCGATAGCCAATCAAGTCGCTGCCGACAAAAAATGAAGGGTAAGAACGGGGAAGAAAATGACACGAGTAGATATTTACCTGACTGGAGATGGCTCGTCCACGAGCTCGTTCATGCCCGATCCAGAAGAGAAGTCGCGTTGATTTTCCCGAACTCTCGCATCTTGAACGAGACGAAGAAGAAACGCGCGTTAATAATAATATAATATTATATGTACATAAGGCGTATAAAAAAAAAAAGGAAAGATAGAGATAGAGGGAAAAAAAGGAATGTTCGAATGTTCGATGCATTGAGGATCGTGCACCAGGCTTTATTTTATTTTCACTGCTCGCGCGTTACAGAGAATCGCGAAAATCTATTGATATCTATTCAACGTTGATCGACCGTCGATAATCTTCTCTCTAACGGGTATCGACCGGTCGACGTTCCACTCCTCGAGCGGGATCGGCTAGGCTTCGCACCAAATTTCCTCCACCGATTTGGTCCAAATTTCTGTCGAGCCGAAGATTGTCGCTCGAGGACAACGGTCGATTCACGCCACGAACCAGATTCCCTCCGCCAATGCTGTCCAAATTTCGTTCATCACGACTCTCCGCTTCCCGTAGCAAATTCCCGCCCCCGATCTGATCGAGATTCCTACGCGACCAACGGTTGTCGTAGGACAAGCCCTCACGCTCGGCCGAGAGAGAACCCACGCCACGCAACAGGTTGCCCGCACCGATCTGATCCAAGTTGCGCGAGAGTCGCTCATCCTGTCCATCGCGAGCATCGTAATTACTTTTTCCAACGCCGCTTCTTGAGAGTAATCGTGCGACGTTGCCGCCTCCTCTTAGTCGGGACGAGTAACGGTCCGATTGCCCCACTTTTTCCCGTGGCAATCCTGAAAATTCGTCGATCGTCGTTTCGATCCTGTGAGTATCAACCAAAAATTCGTCGAAATTCGTTCGTCACCATCACCACAAATCCCTTCTTCGAGCAAGCGTGTTCTTCCGTTCTTCAACCCGTAAGCGAATTATTATTGCTTTGCTTTTCGAACGAGAGAGACAGAAGCGTATGCGAAACACAAGCGAGGTATTACAGATAGAATGGACAGAATTAAAGAGAAACGAAGAAATGGTAACTTAATGATAACTTACCATGGTCGTCGAGAAACGCGGCGAACAATTCCGGGTTAACGGGTCCGTAAAACTCTCTGCGCAGAAGGTTAGTTTCAGCCTGGAATCAAACGTGTCCTGCGATTAGATCGAGATCGTGCCACGATTGACAGCACGCGACTCGTCTGTGTCTCGATCGATGAAAAATTTTCCCTCCCACGCTCGAAAAATATCGATTCAACTGTTGGAAATGTTTCGAACGCATGATTTTGCGATTTTACCATTGCGAAGATAAAGATCGTTTTCGTTCGCGTGACTTGTAATTTGAAACAATTTCGAGCACGATCGAAAGTCATTTAGTCAAGGTGAGAAAAGAAAAAACGATGGTTACCTGAACGGTGGGTATCCAAACGGTTGCCGTGATCGAGAGAGCCAGAATCGAGAGAGCGAAAACACTGTGACACGACATCATTGATAGCGAGTCGCGCAGCTTTTACCAAAAACGTGAAATAAAGCGAGCGTTTGAGTGTACGAGGTGTACCTACTACTCAAATCGTGTGCCTTGTACCGATTCACCTCGTGGTTGTTCGAAATATATATAGAGAGGGTAAGCGGTCGAGAGGGTACGGATCGGGGGGTGCGAAACGGGCTTGGAGGACGCACGCGCCGCGACGCGACGCGACAAACCGCGACAAGTCGCGACGCCGAAATCCATTATCCCTTACGCGTGGTCTCACCTCCGATCATATCATCACGGCCCATCGCGCGCATCTCGCTTCGATGGCATTGCCAATTTCATTTCCAACCGATCCCGAATTACGTATTTAGGAAAGTAATCGATCACTACTTTCGCCTCCCTTCGAATACCATTGTTCGCGCCATATCTATCTTCCCCATTCCATTCCATTTTCGATCCGTTTTTGATCACGACATTTCACGACGAGGGACAAAAAACCCTGGGAACGCGATCGATCGATCTCGCTCCTCCGTATTTGGAGCAGAAAACGATTCTCGCCACGCGTGAATGCCACAAGTATATACACACGTGCAAATTATCGACGTCTCATTAACGTTTTACGAGTGAGAAAAACGAGCTTAAGGGCGCCAGTTTCGAATCAACCGAAAGCGCGTTTATAATCCTCCTCTCTACCGTTCTTTTTCCAATCCAAGAATCGCTTTCATATTTTGACGGGATAAACGAATATCTCAAAAATGAAACGAAATGGAAATGGAATGAAATAGGTGTCGAAAATATCGAGTAATGATTAGTGAATTTATGATTTACGAAGATACGATTTGTTGAAATTTTTTTAGTAATAACATTTTTTTTTCCTCAGGATTTTGACACAAGAGAATAAGTATGATTTTCAGACCAATTCTTTTGTAAAGATAACGAAAATGAATACGAAAAAAAGATAAATCAAAGAGAAAGAAGAAGAAAAAATTCTCCTGCATAATTTTCAATTTTAGATATGCCGATAAATGCGAAAGAAGATAAGACGCGAACGTGCATTATCCACTCAATGCAATATGTACCGTTTAAATTATCCTGTTTACTTTTATACTCGTGTTTTTTTGCCATACCTTTAACCATTCCCGTTAACACGGTTGAGTCGAGAGCACTTTGCTTTCTATATCGACTCGACTTGTTTCTGATAGCACGATTGACAGCTACTCGACACCTTTTGCTCGCTAATGAATACCATTCTCTTATCTTTTTCCATTCTCTTCCCAATATCATCGAATATCCTCGCTCCAATCGCTCCGACATTCGATTTATCTTCGATTGAAAAAAAGTTGCGGTCATTGGAAAATGAAATAAATTATATCTTTCTTTGCAGAGATCTCTCTTCGATGATATAAAATTTTCGTTGAAAAATTAAAAAGAATTCGCGTGTTTCAGAATTGAAAAGCCACTTACTGTTATTGAAACGAATCGCCGATTCGAGTAACATACAGGGCGGGAAAGTACATATTTGTTTGTTCCGTCCAAGTGGAAAATCACTGATCGACCTTTGTATAGCATGGATGGGTCAGGACTAATTTTAGATCGTGTCTCGATCGTTGCAACAGATACAATCGAGTACTTAGTAGAACAAAACTGCCTGTACATCACTTACGAGTCCCTGTTAATTAATCGAATTATCGAGAACGTTCGGTAATGCTAATAGCTGATAACGAAACATCGTTCCTGCTTGCATGGACAACATTTATCCTGTTCGTGCGGTTTGCGCATAAAGTCAAGTAACGCGCAAAACGCTCATAACGCTGAAAACTAAGTACATACTAATATATATATATATATTTGACGCAATAAATTCAATCGTTCTTTTTTTTCCTTCTATCGTTTTTTAAAATTTTGCAAATAAATATAATGTTTTTCTTCGTGTTTTTTGATTCTTGCGTTTTTTATTATCAATTTCGATTCAAGGAAACCACAAAGGCGTGCCTAATGTTTCCTTTAGTCCGCGAGATGGCAATCGCATCGCAACTACCGACCACCTTCGATCGATACTCTACCGCGTCATCTGTGTGAAAATGAAAACGAAAACTGTTCTACTCCTCTTCATATGTTATTTTTTCGCCCGAAGCGCCGCAAACGACGAATTTCTTGACGACGATTACGAAGGTGATAATTTGAATATCGACGCGTCGATTTTATATATATATGATTGTCTAATCACTTTTAACACTTAGTTACAACGATCCATGTTTACGAGATACTCGTTTGCTTTTTCTAACCTTTAATGTGTCACAAAATTATATTTAATTCTTTTCGATTGTTTTTGCAAAAAATAACGATTTGATAATAATAATTAAAAGTAATTTAAACGTTACAGAAGATCCACGAAATTTTGATTTAAATCGAGTAGATTCGTTTCGGGAATATGTATTCGGTCGTGATGGAGAGAATCGTCGAAACATCATTGACGATGAATTGGAAGATTGGCCTGGCCGATGGATGCCCGACAGACCAAACGATCCTACTCCACCACCCAAAATATTTCCAAAGATTAGTCAGACAACTGTGCAATCCCTTCATGGAATACCAATGGGATATTCGTCGCAAAACTGCGACGATGCAAAAGTATGTATATCCATATGTCATTTATTTCTCCACTGATTATCGTTCATCGATCATTTTTATCTCGCATATCATTTTTTAGAGTAATTTAACCATGGATTGGGACGGCAATCCAATTGTTCATACCTGTTACGACAAAAGAATCGTTCCGAATAGAAGTACAACAGCGATCATGTATTGTGTACTTATGCCCAAGTATTATGTTGTAAGTATATATATACCATATGTATAATCACTTCGATGATAAATGCATATTAATTGCATATTAATTCGAATGTTTATAGGCTATGCACAAATGTATGTACGAGAAAATAGAATACGACGAAGTTGTTCCTGTATAGTAAGTGCGATCTTTGTTTGATTTCGTTAATTTCGAAAAATCTATAAATCTTAATAACCGTGTATTATTTTTAGCGGAACACACAGACCTTTATGGCCTGTTTATGGCGAGTACAAATTTTTACCGAAGCAAAGGTGGCTTCATAGTTTAGAGGTAATTAACATGTTCGATATAAAATAATAATTCAATTTCTCTTTTCTAACATATTCCTTTCAGCATGGAGCGATTGTTGCGTTATATCATCCGTGCGCCAATCCGATGCAAGTAAGGCGTTTAAAAAGTTTGCTCGCAGGCTGTCTACGACGACATGTGATCAGTCCATATAACCTCTTGGATGAAAGCCATGTAAGCATTCGCAGATCATAATTGATTGAAATTCGATTAAACGTAAAATTGATGTTTCAGCCGTTAGTTTTGATCTCTTGGGGATGTCGATTGAGCATGTCATACGTAAATCCTGAGCTAGTCATTGAATTTATTCGTGAGCATGCTCGTCGAGGGCCGGAAGAAATCTCGAAAGATGGTGATTTCGTCGAAGGTCTGTTACATCGAGCTGAAATTGTGTCCGATATTGACGATACGATATTATGTCCCAACGCCCATACATTTTAAAACTTCTACATCGTGCGCATTGGTGCATCTATATCGTCCCTTTTGCTTCTATTATAATACGATACGTACATGTACATATCAATCTTTTATTATTTATTTATTAAGCGCGTTTCTTTCCTTGTTCTTTTTCCTCTTATTTTCCTTCATCCAACAGCTCTCTCCTTTTCGTTTTTTTTTTTTTTGGTTTTAACGTGATTTGTGTTAGAGGAAAATTAATAAAAAAAAAAAAAAAATCGGAAAGTAACACTGAATCTTTTTCCTTTCTTCTTCCGTTCAATTAATTTTTTTTTTTTTTTTTTTTTTCTTTATTTTATTCATTGATATTACCATCGAATAACGCGTTGAAGAACGAGGACAAAGGAAACGAATAAATGGGACGCGTAATATTCACTCCCGTTACATATTCTTGTATATTGTTCATCTTTCGAGAGAGAAGATCAATTAGTTAAATACATTGAACATCGTGTCGGTTTTTAAAATCTCTGCGGACCTTTGTTATCTACAGACGTATAGTAACTTCACTGTAGTGCTGACTATAATCGTTATTCCTGCGATTACGTATCTTCAATGATATATAAAATTAGGGTAAGACAAGTAACGCTATCATATCTCGATAATGTAAAATATACTACTCGTCTACTCAATGGTAAGTCGTTAACGTAAAAGAATATAATTGTACAGTAAACGCTTGGCTCTTTTTTTTTTTTTTCTTTGTCTTCGTTATCGCTTCGATAGATCAATAGATCACAAAGAAAATAGCTACTACAACGCGAGAAGAAATCGGCGAATCGGTGAGTTAGAGGCAGCGACAAGATTCCAAACGTGAGTTCGCGGTTGAATCGCTTATCGCGTTCAGAGAATACAGAAAATCTATCGATTCACCGATTTCCTACTCCTGTTATTTGACCGAACATCCATGGACGCGATCCGACTCTCGTCGTTATTATATATCAGACATGCCCTTTTTCTCTTCGAAATTTCGTTTACTTCTTAATATTCCAAACCCGGATCTATGGGTATTTTTACGAGATATCTATTTCTCTTTTTTTTTCTTTTTTATAAGGATGCATGTACAGCTATATATATATATATATATATATGTATTCAGATTCGCGGAACCATCGATATTTTTGTGCAGGATTAGATAGGTAAAAGGGCACGCTTTATTTTTTTTTTTTTATACGCTGTAGTCAGCGCTGCAACGAATTTTCTTCTCTCTGTTGGATGACGAGTGTGGATCTCGCCTTGCGTTTTCTTTCCTCAAACACAGCTAATAAACGCGTTACGACGATGGATTTCTTAATATTATTGCCAACTTTGTACAGTGTTGATAATAATAATGATAATAACAATAATATCGCATTAAAGATGGAAAATAACAATCTATCTCGTTCTGTTCTCGTATAACTGAGAGAGAAAGAGAAAGGTAGAGAGAAAGAGAGAGAGAGAGAGAGAGAGAGAGTGTGTGAGAAGTGAAATGCATCTATACTCATTTGATGCAAATACGACTCATAGGCGGAAAAACACCGTTCATTTATTTAATAAGTAATCCTTAGTACAGGTCTCTTTTTTACTTTTTCTTTTTCTATTTTTTTGCCTTTTCTTTGTTCTTACGTAGTTCTTTCACCTAATAGAAGTGTATCTACGATAAAAAGTATTTTTCCATATCATTGTTCAACGTGCTAAATTCTTCAAATTTTTATCTCTTTCGTAAATCGGTTTCTCTCTCGCATGCACGCACACGTAAATAAATACTCTTTCGTTCAAACTTTCTTGCCATCGTTCGTTCGTTCGCGCATTCGTTCGATCGTGCATTCGTCCGCTCTCTTCTTAAACTTTTCCTTTCATCCTTGGTTTTTTTTTTATTTTCTTACTTTCGTACTTTTTTCGCTCGTTCGTTCGCTCGTTCGTTCGTTCGTTCGTTCGTTCGTTCGTTCACTCGTTCGTTCGCTCGTACGTATTTTCTATTCCTTTCTCTCCCACACTCTCATTCCCTAATTAATTTTTCAATAATGTAAATTTATTATAATAATCTCACTTTGGCGCGTAGCAGTCAAGAGACATGGCCACGCAACCTCTCTTATCGTTATGATTTAACACCGACACCCCATCACGATCGCTCTTTATTTTTTGTTCGTTTGTTCTTTTATCTGAAAACATTCGCAAACTTACACGATTTACGCTCGAAAGTGGAATTGACACTCATAAGGTTATTGAAATAGTCTCTCGAAGAGTAATAATTGCACCGATGCGACACGACCAATGTAAGTACATTCTCGATACTTTGTCGTGTTCGAAGTCTCTAAAGCGTTCCATCTGCTTTGTCACAATTCCCGTTTCTTCGTCGTATTTACTTCCTGATCGATTCACATTTTAGCCCATCTGTCGGTCTTCTCTTTCGTTCGTTCACATCACATGTTTCCTAATTCTTCTAAAATAAATACACAATTTTTCCGTTCTATGGAACAACGTTCGTTCGTTTTGTTAAGAAAAGTAAATATACAAGTAAAATAAGGAGAAAGAGAAGACGTGAGAAGAGAAAGAAAGAAAGAAAGAAAGAAAAAAGAAAGAAAGACAGACTGACAGACGGACAGCAACGTTGCGCGAAGATAAAATATTCCGCACGTTCGTGAAATCTTATTCTCATGAACAAAAGAAAATTAACGAATTCACAGGTGTAATGTATAATACGTGAACGAGAAAAATCCTCTTCCTTACTTTTTTAGGCCAAAACATACACACTATATGTATGCATATACCAACGAGATCATCGATGATACGTGCATTGTTTTGCAAGTTTACAGGTATATAATTCTATCATGGCCCGAAAAACTTATTCGATGGTACTTATTTGAAAGTAAATATAATTTGATTCTTCAATTCCTAATCGCGAGTATCGCTACACACGAACGCGCATGCATCGGAGAAAAATGCTAACGACAAGTCAACGAGGTTTAAAGCTAATTTAAACGAACGAAAAAAGAAAATGAACAACTCCTTTTCGAAGAGGAGACATACTGATACATCGGTACTTAAAAAAGTGATGCGCGCAAGGGACTGTTTGCGACGATCTCTCGTCTCGGTGCGGGGATGGGGGAGGGGGAAGAGGGAGGGGTTTGTATTGTATGCGACCAATCATATTTAAGGCCGATGATTCCTGTCTCCTTTACATCGTAGGTCGGTATCGAACCGACACCGAGACAGAGACAGAGAATTGACTATCGATCGATCGAACCAATCATATTCGTCGATTGAGTGATGACCACTCGGTGCACGCGAATCGATTTCTTTTTCTAATTTTCAAAATGCGAAACAATCAAGTTGTTCGGAGGAGGGTGTCCAATCGAATGAATCGCACAATCTTTTTCTCTTTTTCTCGAATCGAATATCGATTCGAGCGATCGCTAAATAAATTCCAAATCGACCAAGAAGGGACAAGCTTCGAGATGTAAAGCAAGTCGTAAAACGATAATGATTCTTTCTATGTGTGTATATGTGTGTGTGTGTGTGCGTGTGTGTATGTGTGTGTATCTCCGTGTCTGATCTTGCGTTCTTCCTTCTTCTTCGATCGACGCAGGATACGAAAACGAACGAAAGCTCTTTTCTTCCGATCCTATTCCTCCTCCTCCTCCTTCTTTCTTCCTTTACCTATGACGACGATGACGATGACGATGACGATGACGACGATGATGGCGAGAACAAAATATCGGTCAAAACGAGATTCGAATCGATTTCTTGTTACGCAGGAATTCCTTTTTTTTTTTTTTTTTAATCATATTCAATTAATCTCTAAACCAACGATCGATATGCTTATGTAATACGATCACGAAGCTATCGTCGCGATTATCGTGTTGTTCGTTTCTCTAATTCTCCGTGTTATCACGTTTTTATTGTTATCGTAGCATCGTATCGTCGTCTTTATCGCATTACCGTGCTCAACGTTGCCGTTACAACACGTGTGCAACGTAAACTCCTGTTCTATTCCTTTTTTCCTCCATTCTCTCTTATATCATTTTTGAAACATCAATCCATAATCTTTTAAACGCATTTACCTCAACGTTCATATAATATAATCAACAAAACGTTAACACGAACGTCGCCCGTTTCTTGCTCGAAAAGCAATTATCAGACGATAGTTTACACGAGCAACAGGCGTCGCGAATAATAAATTATCATCGTTAATATATTACTCTTTTCGACTGTGCCGACTAACTATTTTATATATACATGTAATATGTTTTTTTTTTTTTTTTGTAACGCGTTTGGGCGTTGTATGTAATAATGTGTGTGTGTATATATATATGTGTGTGTGTGTGTGTGTATGTATACATGTATGTGCTCCCGTTTTGCGCATTTGCGCTCGTGTCGTGAGTGTGTGTATGTGTGTGTGTATATATACGTACAAGTATGTCTGTGTGTGTATATATACATATATATACACATATAGCAATAAATATGTATACACTTTGTGTAGATACGATATATCGGAATGATCCAGATTTTATCGTCGACGATTGTATTAGCGTTAATTAATTTCCCGTAACATCTATATCTTATTATTGCTGCAGCTTTATAGATCTCCTCTTCTCTCCTCGTCGCGTGTTCCTCGTTTTTTTTCTTTTTTTTTTACTTTTTTTCTTTTTTTCTTTTTTTTGCGAAAATCCATTTCCCTCCTTCCCATCATCCGGCATCTTGTTCTCCGCGCCGATGATCGACCATCTTTAATACAACGCACGCTTTTTGCGAAAATGTTTTTCTTTTCGCACGACGATAAATGATATATATATATAATAAAAAACAAAACGAAGAATATGGAAGAAACGAGAAAAATATTTCGATTTATATAAAGTGATCCGATTACTTTAATTTGCATTGTCATTGTCGTCGTTACGTATGTCGGTCATGGTCACAATCTCGTCGTTATTGTCCGTTCGATCGTCGGTAATTGACCGATTGATGTTATAGTAGGTATTCGATACGACTGCAATACGACAACATGAGGTGAACCGAGAGAAAAAAAATAAAACAAGATCGTGCGCGCAAGATCGCGGCCGCGTATTTGAACAGAAACAAATGCAACGATATATCGAAGATGATGCAAAAAACCAATGACACCGATCGGTCGATCGAACCCCATACCCTAATGGCATTTCGTGCAACACGAAGATGACAGTGCTTCGCTATACGATTCGTCATCGTTTTCGATTAATTTTTATCGACCGATCGATTTCTGACACAACGCCGAAAGCGAGAAACAAACTACCTAAGTGTATATTCCGTCGAACGAAAGCTATTCCAACGTTACGACGCACTTGCAAATTTGCCCTTTGCGCGTTCCAATTCACATGTTTTCCCTTCTTTACCGATCGTCGATATACCCTCCTATCGTCGAAATACTATCGTTTCGAATCAGCCTACGTTCGATTCTCGATTTCGAGCAGTAGTGGTGATCTTGGAAGAAGCGAAGAAAAGAAAACACTTTGCATGCGTTTCGATTCGTATGATCGTATACATGCCCGACCATATTACGAACGTGTTCGAAAGATTCGCAAAAGGCTAATTTCCAAGCTCGTTAAAAATCACAGTCAAAAGAATGCACTTCGGTAGGTAGTCGGTATAATTGGACACGGCTACCAGAGCCTGCGCATAACGCCGAAAATGGCGTTTGAGAAAACGAGAGGATTGCACGGTAGCCTCGCACGATGTGCCTCGCGTTACAGAAAAACTCCATTAGGTTTTAGGCTTGGCTTTGAAACGAGATACATCGATACGACCTAATCGTAGGCAGCTGCCCACGAATACCGTCTTTTTTTTTTCTTCGCTTTCTAGGCCCGATAATCCCGGACAAAAAGGTAAGTACGCTCGACATTTGTCCATCACATCCGTGTTATTCCCCCATCGCATTCTCGGTTGCTCGTCGATGATAACCCCGGAGAGATTAACGATGATAACCAATAACTCGATCGTCTACGATCCACGCAATGACAATTTTCCTTGCTTCGATAGATACATTGGCGAACATCGAGATCGCTTCGTCGCTATCGTCCGTGTCTTTTATCCTTTTCTATGTTTTATGATCGTGTTTCATAGAATAAAGATAAAAAATAAGACAGTGTAGAGAAAATCGATGGAAAATAAAACTCGCGTGGAACGAAGCGAGATTATTTTCGATGAAACTATTCGCGTATCGAGTGAACGAAAGAAAAACGAGGAAAGATTAGTAAATGAAAGTGTATAAACTACAAGCGACAATAATGATGCAAACAAACGACGATAACGATGAAGACGACGACGACGACGACGACGAGGACGACGATGACGAGGACGACGATGACGATGACGATGACGATTCTTCGTTCTGCCAGCTATCGTTTTACTCATTTCCATTCTCCTTCTCATATCATTTTCACTAATTTTCTCAAATACTTCTATTTCTATTCTCGTTCGCCTCTTGTTTACGATAGTCGACGCGTAAAACACGTATCGGTGAACGCGCAAGCGTAACGGAAGGCGGAATTGAACGACGATCCATGGGACGAGGAGCGGCACGCGCGGACAAAAGATCGGACGATAAGATCGCGAATGGGATCGCGGTCGAATTGCCGTTGTTGCTATTGGCGGTTGTTGTTGCGGCTGCGATTGCGATTGCGGATGCAGTCGTGGTCGACGAACACTATTCCACTTGAAATGGGCGATGCGTCCAACGTTGTTTCGGGCTGATTTCTTTGAATTCACGCGTTGCCGGCGTTTCGCGTTTTCGTACGCGAACTCGCCAACTCTTTTCGACTTGTCTGGAAAAATGTAAAACAAACGTGTGTAAATGAAGCTCACCGCTCTTTCATCTTTCCTTTGTCATCACGCAGATATATGTGGAATATATTTTATATATTTTTTTTTTTTTTATATATTTTATATATATATATAAAAAAAAAAAAAAAGAAGTGGACAGACGATACCTGAGTACGGCGTTCACAGTCCAAAGTATCCAGCGATGGTGGTGGTCAGAACGACGGCGAGTATAGTAAGGCAGATCATGATCATGATCTTCTTCTGCGCTCGGCAAAAACACACAATGATCGATTATACAAGGCAAAGTACGCAACGTGCCTTGGTACATTCCTACCGTAACCGTAACTACTTGGACACCTTCCTCGGTGGTGTGTGTACATGCTACGCGTCACCCACTTCTTCCATATATTTTACACATCATCGTCACATTCGATTCTCCGATCGAATCGCAGTTATATTCGCGTGCCTCTCTGCGTGTGCGCCTGCAACTGGCCTCCCAATTCTCAACAATCGCAGTTCGTGTCTCGTCCTATATATATATATATATATATATATATATTTCTCCTCGATTTCTGATCTTTGGATCATCCCCTCCTCGATCGTGTCGCATCCCCTCCCTCTCTTCATACACAATCGCCACAAAAACCGTACCATCCATCCATCGTGAATATTATTATATCTTTTTTTTTTATATATATATATACTTTTTTCATCATACAAACACGTTTTTACCTATTATTTATTTACAATTTGCTCGCGATATCGCGTCGCGCGCGATTGGGGGAAATTTGAATTCGGGGGGGAGGATACCGACCACCACGCTATCTATCTATCTATCTATCCTCTTTCGATTCGCGATTTCGTCTTTATCTTTCGGTCGTTTTTTCGAACAAGAAAAAGAAGCGAAACGGCGAACGGACGGCGAATGCACGCGATTCCCGGAGAAACGGATTCGCGAGAGTATTTCACTGAAAATACGTTCGCAGCCTCGGCGTTTTCGCTCTTGGAGGGAAGCGAGTGGAGATGGAAGAAGGGAAAGGAGGACGAGGAGCAATGAAAACGCGAAAACGCCGCAGCTCGCGTCTCCAGAAAGTTCCACTAGTTTTACTTTTTTCTCCTCGTGGTCCATCCACACTTTTCACAGCGTTCATCCTTTTCACCGCTTTTCACCTGAAATCCTCGAATATCGCCGATCTATCTTTTTAATGCGTATACCAGAATGATTATGAGAATGATGAACGCTATTGTCAGGCAAATTACGATGAACATCAATTTCTGCGAACAAAATACAGAGAGTTGCCGTCACTTGTCGATGTTACGCATCGAAGTCGCGTCAAAGAACGAGAGAGACAGAGAGTTGAAAGAAAACTATATATCTCCTTCTTCTACCGCGCGAAAAAAAAAGGAACAAAAACACGTTAGTTTGACCACAAAACTACATATATCCGTGTATATTACGAATAGGAAGAACGAGGAAAAATCACTCTTTCTCTCTTTCTCTTTCTCTCTCTCTCTCTCTCTCCTCTCTGTCTCTCTATCGTTCGAGAGAAGTATGCACGGACGAGTTGGCGAAATAGAGAGAAAGAACAAAATGAGAAGAAAAAGGAGAAAAAAATATATACATATTTCTTATGTTACGTTAGTGGAACGAAATGTTATATCGTTACGGACAACGAAAATAACGATGTTTAGTCATTTCAATGTTAGAGAGAGAGAGAGAAAGAGAGAGAAAGAGAGAGAGAGAGAAAGAGAGAGAAACAAATTTAAGCCATGGAAAGAACAGGAGGGAAATAACGAAGAACGGTGGCGGTAATAGGTGTGCACGTCGAAAGTATCGAGAGGGCAGTTTGTTGGTGAAATCGCGAAACAGAAAGTCCATTTTAAACGAGCGTCGTCTGCGCTTCTTTACCTCTTCGATCGTTCCCCCGCGCGTTTCTATCATCGTCCTTGATTTTTCGATCGATCTCGAGATCCATTCTCTTCCTTTTTTTTTTCTTTAGTTTTCTTTTCTTTTTTTTCCTCCCTTCGATCGAACATCGCGTCCATTCCCCCATTATCATCGCATGCCCCTTCCCACCACCCCTAAGCGCGCGCTTCTTCAAACCTTTAGCTTCTAGGAACGCATGCTATTATTATGGAGATCAATATCACGGCCAATATCAAGACGCAGATTATGATGAAGATCATTTTCTGTGGACAGAAAAAAAAAAGACCGACGTGTAAAATGAACCGTACAATCCGAAATCGCGGGCAAAGTGCAAATATTCACCAGGGAGGAATATAACAAGTGAGAAAGGGAAAACGTTGCACGCGTCTCCGTATCTCGAAAAAAAAGCACAGAGGCATATCGATTTGTACTTGCACATTTATATATAATAGAACACGATAGAGGATAAGAAGAAGAAGAAGAAGAAGAAGAAGAAGAAGAGAAAAAACATGACGACAATACGAAGAAACGAAGAAACGAAGAAACGAAGAAACAGGCAGACAAGCAGGCAGACAAAGACCGATTAAATCGGACGAGAAACAAGGATTGTTTATTATATATCAATTCATGGATAACAGGAAGAGGAAATGATAGAGATAGAAAGAGAAAGAGGAAAATAAGCGGAAAATAACACGTTTTCTTTTTTTTTTATAATTAACGATGCAACAGATCGAACTTTCGAGATCAAAAAAAAAATTTGACGATTGTTGTTCGCAAGCTAGGAGAGAAACGAACAATCACGTATTGTTCATTGCTAGAAAGAAATTTCTCTCTGCGAAACGGCAGAGGCAAGAGAAGTCCTTCGGTAGGATCACCTATCCCCACTCTAGACGCTTTGTTGACAATTTTAACACCACGCACTACATAATAGTAGAAAAGTTATAATTTGAATATTCAAAATCATAAAAATTATTTTCATTTACGAAGTTACGTTAGAATAATTAAGACTGGAAGCTGAAATATTTTCGAAACTTTATTAATTATTCCGACACATATCGACATAATATATTCGTATACAACAATTTTAAATATATATATATTAAATACGAAATTACATTAACGAAATTAAATTATCGTTAAATTATCGTTTATAAATCATAATTAGCCTAAACATATTGATAAAAAATAACAAAATTTTTATATTATATCGATACTTACGATATACGATATTATATCGTAAATTTTACAAAAATTTTCTGGATTCTATGCATCGAAGTTTAGATACAGGTACCGTCGTTTGGATCAGTATATGTGACAAATACTATGATAAAAATAAAAATATGTGTGGAAATAGGCGTTCCTTTCCAAATTAACCAATCAAAGCCGCGAAACTTCTTTCCACCAGTGAACAGTACTTTCGCGTTACACATGCTGCTCGCACGTTTATCTTTGCCGTTCGATCGATCGCATTAGCTAAAATTGAACCAACAAGATCGGTGAAAAGCGAAGCAAGGATGGAAGGATCCATCGCCTTTCTTTTGAATTCCTAAGAAATTTTGTAACAACGAAATGGCATCGAACGTGCAAAGGGAGAACGAGTACGGAAGACAAGGAATGAGACAAAGAGGTATCGAGAAAGAGAAAGAGAAGCAAGTTAGACGTTCTCGTGGATGATCCTCGTAATACGACGAAAAGAGAAGAACGGCGGATTGGATGATCGCCGCTGGATCGTCCTTCTGGATTATCGTCCACTTCTTATCGCAAACATTATATTATCCAGCGGCGATCGATCGATACCATTTTTTTTTTCGATTCGTTTTACCTTACGAGCTTTGCTCCGATACTCCTCGGCCTTGATCAGCTCTCCCCGGGCCTGGACAACGTGGTCGCCGGTTTGATCGACGAGGTACTCGATGCGGTCCACCAACTCACCCTGCCGTGCCATATACCGGAGGAGGAAAGGGAGGAAAGGGAGGAAGGGAGAATGAGCGGTGGAGAGGGTAAGAGGTGGATCGCTTCCAGCAAGGTTCGTTTACACGCGTCGATGTTTCGTTTCGCACGTGTGTCGATGCGTTTACGTATAGATGCGCCCAAAGAGCAGGACGGTGCGCATATATACGCGTAAACGTATAATATATAGATATTATATAAAGGAAGAGAGAGATGAATATACACACACCGGTGTGAATAAAGCCACACATCGTGTTATATATATATACCGTGTATACCGTATACCGTATATGCCGTCACCCAATAAGAGGAAAAGCCACGATGACGATACGATTGGCGCGCGAGAGCCAAATCCAATCGTCAGATAAATCGTTACAGACGTTAGAGATGTTAGAGCATAGATTATATATATATATATGTAGAATTTTTTTTAGTTAGTTTAAGTGTACAAAATGTGAAAGAACGGTTCATGGGCAGAGAGTTACAATTAGCACACTCACGTTCAATAAGGACAGAGCGACACAAGTAGAGAGACACACATATAGACGATGATGCATGTGTACAGCAAACGTGTGTACGTATCGTAAGAAAAAAAACGCGTACACACACGTGCATACACACACACACAACGTACGTAGAGAAATAGAAAAGAGAACAATCAAGAAGGATAAGGAATACGCGTATAATACAAACATCATGTACATAGATGCACATCGAACGCATATATATATATATGTGTGTGTATGGACACGAGCATCGATTCCATCCGTACAAAATATATAAAGGATAGAAAATATATAAAGAACAGGGAAAAAAAGAAAAAGGAAAGAAAGCATCGTCGTTTTATTCGCGATGTCGCATCGTATATATATATATATATATATCAGGGGAATCATAATAGCAGTAGCAGTAGCGGTAATGTAGTAATAATAATAGTAGTAATAGTGGTAGTAGGCGTATACAAACGAGGGGGGAAAAAAAAGCGAAAATAACCAAAAAGTGTAAATGGGTTATGTGTAATAGTAATAAATAGGCGAAAGAACGTAATAAAGGGATGATGAAGAAGAAAGAAACGCGAGTACAATCGGGAGGGACGAGAGAGAAAAAAAAATAGGATGGAAGGGAGATAAAGGGAGGGAGACGAGGGGGAGGTGGGGGATCGAGGGAGAAAAAAAAAAGTGACGAATTAGACGCGAACGAAAAGATCGATCCAGGGATTGTGTGATCTGGGGAGGACTCACCCGTCGAGCTTTGCTTTGATACTTGAGCGCTTTTTTGGTGTCCTGCGTAGCCGTCTGCACGTAGTCCACCGCGTGTTCCACATGGTATTCTATGCGATCTATCATCTCGCCCTAGGAGTGGGTAACGTAGCCGCGATCCACACAGCGTAACAAGGGGGGAGGGGGGAAGAGAGAGAGAGCGATTGTTAGTTTTTGTTTTAGTTTTTTCAAGCCGTGTTCGAATTCATAGTTTCCCCGAATTCATGCTTCGCTTATACGCGAAAGGGAAAGAGAAAGACAAAGAAAGAGAAGGTGATACGAATTCCTACCGATTCCTTCTTTTCAACAAGCCTCTTCCAATCTCGATTATTTATCCTCAAAAAAAAAAAAAAAAAAAAAAAAAAGGAAAGAGAGAAGAAAAGAGAAGAAAGAAAGAAAAAAGAGATAAAAAATACACTACGTTAATAATTATCCATATACGTCTCGTGTTAATATCAATTAATGTTATCGTTATTCATTTTTAATGGTTTATTCGCGTGTAATCATGCATTTTCTAATCGACAGATCAGAGAATTATTACGAAAATTTACTTTCCCCATAAACCATGAACACTGTTACCATAGGATTCGAAGAGAGAAGAGCCCGTCACACACGCGAAGAGAGAAGTGGTTACACTGGTTCGCGCTACGCCCCTCTCAAAATTTGTCCTTTTCTTTCTCTTTTCCATCCATTTTTTTTTCTTCTTTTTTTTTTTACAATTAACAATCGTAACAAAATATTCGACAAAAATAAATAAAGTATCTTCTAAATTAAATACGATAATCCATTTAAAAATAATAATAATCGAGAGACGATAAAAACAAAACGGAAAAAAAAAAATAAATAAATAAATAAAAGAAGCAAAGTCGAAGGGTGAAACTTGGGGTTCTATTGTATAAAAAAAAAAAAANAAAAAAAAAAAAAAAAGAAAGAAAGAAAGGTACACGATCGATCTTACCTGACTTTCCACCAACATCGCCATATCCATGAACATATCGTGAAGCTCCCTGATGGAGTTTTCTAGTTTAATGATGTCTGCGTGGCGTGCCTCGATATCGGCGAGAGTCTGTTTCGCTTGTTGCGTTTCCATGATAATCTGCGAGAAACGCGTCTCGATACAGCACCATGTTTTTCGATGCACCAGAAACGTAGAAACGTAGAAACTCTTACCCCCTGCGTGAACACAGCCGGATTCCCCTGTTCCAGCATTTCCTCCAGCTCCTCGTTAGTGGTCGTCCTACCGGCTGAACGCGGAAACCAATTTTTTCAGCTTATAACGCGCCACTCGTCGCATTTTGTACGAAACAAAAGAAAAAAAAAAAAGAAAAAAGAAAAAAGAAAAAAGAAAAAGAAAATGATCCTAGCTTACTGATTTCCAACTGTCGTTGTATCCTTCCCTTACACCGCTCTCTGTAATCGGTCTGGGTCCGATTGTACTCCGTCATCACCTCGACGAACTTCCTCGAAAGAGTCGAATGCTGTGTCTTCCGTATCCTAAGATCCGCCGATGATTTGTTCGTGTGCTCCTCCTGCTCGATATTTTGCTCTATAACTGAACATCCAAAAATCGTGAACAGTCAGTGAAATCTCGCTTTTCTCCTCAATATTCTCCTCCTCGATCGATCTTTACTTACCCTTCAATTTAGCCCTCACTTTATTCGCCGTTTTCTTGATATCGGACATCAGGTCTTCCAATTCCATTTTAACCTCTGCAACGAAGAAATAAGAAGAAGAAGAAGAAAAAAAAATTAATCCATCCATTTCCTCTTATTCTCCCTTCCCTCATATACATCTCTCCCTTTTCCTCTTACCTTCTCCCCTCTTTCCATGATTTCGCTCAATTATTCAACTCTCGATGGAGAGCGTGTGAAAGAGAGAGAGAGAGAGAGAGAGAGATCATTCGCAAACTTCTTCACTTCCCCCTCCCTCCCTACCCTCCTTTTCCCGTGATTTCGCTTAATTCAATTTACGAACGAACTTTTCCGTGTGAAGAAAAAGAGGAGAATTTCGAACTGTGTTTGTCCACGGGAAAAATGGAATACGCTCGATTACGCTCGATTCCGCCCGATTATTCCCGCTGTCATCGGCACAGTCTTCCTCTTTCCATCCGTGACCCTATTATTCCCCCTCCCCCCCTCTTCCATGATCAATTTCATCAATCGAGAGAGGAATCGTATCGCGTATTTCTATCTATCTATTTATCTATCTTCTTGTTGCACGGACAACACACGGAGGATCCTTGGAGTTCACGGATTCTGTCGAACGAGAGAGAGAGAGAGAGAGAGAGAGAGAGAGAGAGAGAGAGAGAGAGAGAGAGAGCGTATGTATTTCTTTCCTCGATCGAATTCGAATTCGCCGGCCGGGCGCGTGTGTTTTATCGCCGATGCGAAGGCCGGGCGCATTCTCCTGCGTCGAGGGTGCTCGATGGAATTGGGTTAATACGGGGTGGAAACGTGCCAGACCTACTTCTCAAACCTCTCGAGAACTCGGCACGCCCGGGAGACACGGGACGCTCGAATTCGATCGAATGGCACGCGCGTTTCCTCCTATCGTACTTAAAAAGAAGAAGAAAAAAGAAAAGAAACGAGAACTAAAATTTGACCGATCGAAGCGGCGAGGTTCGATCGTACCGAGCGATGGAAAAAGTTCCCTTCCTGATCGAACGCGCGCTTCCGCGCCACGAATCGATCCACCGACCTATTTGTATTCCGGCGGAAATTCATTTTCATGTATATATTCTTCTGGGTATTCTTTCCATTCGAATGTATTTTTTTTTTTTTTTCAAATTCTAAGAAACACACGTATCGATCGAGAGAAGAAATTCTCCTTCGAGATTCGCGTTAGTTTGGAAGGAAGTGAGGAGTTGAAGAAGGGAGGCTCGATCAATCTTTTCGCCAAGGCGCTAGACACCGAGCGAGACGCGAAGTCAGACGTAAAATTACGTGTGTATATGTGTACCGGCCGGTAACATTGATCTACTTTCCTCTCGAGTAGAGCTTGTTCCGGTCGGTGTTCCACCACTCGAGTCCGTCGTTCGATGCGAAAGGTCGATCGGGAGAGTGAACGACTCTCGAAGCGATCCCTTTCCGTGATTCCGCGCCAACGACCGAATCGAAACCTTAAGGTAAATATTACGGCTATAAGAAATCCGTAAATTCGATCCCCGTTGAAAGCGATACGTTACGGTGATAAAAATCGTTCCATCGATTTAACCATGTACGTGTCGAACGTTTATTACGAAAATATTCTTCCATCTCGTTCTAGAGAAGCACGATCGTGCATCGAGCATCACCTCCTTTGGATCGGTTCCGCGAGCAAGGAAGTATGAGAGAAGGAACGAAATAATAAAGGCGATAAGATTGGTTAAAGTTTTAAAAAAGAAATTAGTTTCAACGATCCGATCCAATTCTCCATCTTTTTTTTTTTTTGATTATCAATTTTCAAAAATCATCGGTCGAATTTCACATGATACCTGTTAAAAAGGGATAAAACAACACATCGATATTTGAAACTCACTTTCGTCGGTTTGAGGTGCCGACAAAATGGCACTATGCTTTTTCTTCACATCCTCTACGTTCGTTTGGATCCTGTCTATCATTTCGCGGATTTCCTCCACCTGTGCAACAATTAAAACGTGTTAAATTAATATCAATATATCTACAATTAGGAAGAAAAAAAGAGAAGAGAAAGAGGAGGAAATAGGTGAGAGGGGGGAGAAAGAACAACTCGTATAAAAATTTATTAAATATTTGAAAATATATTTCGATCGTTGATCGAGCGAATTCGACTAATACTCTACGAAATTTTGATGACTATATTTATCGATAAATGAAATATAATTTTTTCGCTTAACACGGTGCAAAAACGGATGGTCAATGAAATAAGAAAGAATGAAAATACGAGAAACGCGTCGAAAAGAAAAACAAATAAAAGAAAACGTACAACTGTTTTTAATAAGTCGAAAGGTGAACAGATATCTCTGCGACAATGATATTTCACTTCTGTTAAAATTGTCTCTTCCCACGCGTTCGAACGCGGAAAGATCGAAAAGCGAAACAAACGATCAAAGTTGATACGAGCCCACGCAAACGGTAACTAATGAAAATGCCAAAGTTGCTCTATTCGCACCGAAGCTTCCTGTACAAACCGAATTATCCGGTAAGTACCTACGCGTTAAATTTCAATCGTCCGTATCTGTTACGACTTATTCCAATATTTGGCATTGAGCGAATAACGAAAAAAAGCGAAAAAATATAAAACGAGAAAAAATATATATATATATATATACGCATCAAGAAAATGGAAATATTTGATACGATATTTGCGGAACGAGTAACGCCACACGGTTAGTCGGTTCGGAATCGTCTCGACCTAATTCCCCAATATCGAGACGAAACTATCCGAACAGAAATTTTCTTTCGTCCGCTTTACGATACGATTCGATCGAATTTACTATTACCGAATATTTATAATAATAATTACGCTTAAATAATTTCCATTCGAAAAGAAAAATCGACTTCAATACCGATCTTATTTACAATTTTTACGGAATTATCATCGATTCATCGTATATCGTATACGCTGGTATATATATAACCTTGACCGAATGAGATAATTCCAAGCGAAAAAAAAAAAAAAAATTATAGTAAAAGAGTATGATTAATTTTTCCTGTTTCCAGAGCTCGATGTTTCGAGCATAGATACAAATATACTCACTTCCGCGAAAAACTCGGTCATAAAATCATCGGGCCCGCCAACATTGACGGACACATCGTCCGCCACGTCATCATCGTCCGACTGGGCCTGAAACAAACGAACAATCAAAAGTTAATTAAATAAATTTGACGAATTTCGATTTTGCATTCACCGTTCTTTCAATTTCAATTTATTTTGCTATTTCTGCACCATAGATTTCTAATCGATTCCTCGATACTCGTGAAACATCGATTGTTTTTTATATTTTTACCCTTTAAGATATCTTTATCGTGTAAAAAAATTGAAATTTCGATTTTTATCGTGTCATAAGAAATACAATCGATAATCGCTCGCATAATTATAGTGCTTCGTTTTTTTTAAATGCGCGCCAAACATTTCGAATACGAATATATCCCTGCTTATCGGTCAGTCGAATCGTCGAATCGTTGAACGCGACTTTAATTCCCTCTGTCGAATGTAATAATTATATTCCGCCTATTGTACGTTTTCAATGGTCTCTCTAACTTAACCCCTTTGTTCGTATATACATCTCCTTGATTTACCTGGTTAACCAGATGCTGACTTGGCAGAATCTAACACGCGAGACCATTATGTACCAAATTTTCGATTAACTTCGTGTCTTTTTTCTCATCTTGTTCTTATCTCTATACATTTTTATCCTCACGATCAAAAGGCGATCCTCACGCATACAAAAGGCGGATGTATACCTCGTTACACACCTCCTTCCTTTATAACTTCCTTCAGTTTTCATTTTCAATATCGTTTTTCAAACGATACACACTCGAACACAATCGTATATGTCTACTATGATTCATCCAATCATGAGAAAAATTGAAAGTCGTTTAGATTCGATAATCTACATGTAACAATATTATGTATTGTTAATGTATTAATAAAATACATGTTATGTTATCATCAAAAAATAAAAAGAATATGATTAAAAGTTGAATCTAACTTTTATTATTCTAACTTTAGATGTTTCGATTGTCAACGTTATTTTTTAATCAAAAACGTTGAAAAAAAAAAAAGAATCGGAATATTAATTCAAACTAATTGCACAGAATATCTATAAGATGCAATGAATAATGAGAACAAAGTTAGTCGCGAAATAATTCGAATTTGAATTAATGATATTTTTTTTAATACTATCGAATAATACGTGTACAAAGGAACATGAACAAAATGAAATAGAGATCGATTAGACAGATCTAATCGATGTTTGAAAAACAAGTGTGTATCGTAATTAGTAGAATCGAATCGTTATCTTCTTGTAAGAGTATCAAAAGCTGATTATATTCAAAAAAATAAGGCATGGATGAAAAAAAAGTAAGAGAACAAACGATCATCGAATGTCATGCGCTGAGGAACATGTCATACGCCCAGATATACCGATCTTTTAAGCATTCGGCGCCTCTGATATAAATGAATCATCGACTTTATTCCTGCAGTACAGGATCAGTTCGATTTTCAAATAAATCTAGGAATAATATTCGTTCGATACTCGAAACATTGTATCATGATACTTAATTGGAAAGAGTAAATCTTCCATGGAAAGTAACTGCTTAAATATATATGTATATATTTGTACCGGTATCGAGAACTCTGTCATCGTTATGAAATAAACGATGACGAAAAACATAGGTATATTGGCAAACACCTGTCAGTCACAGGAGACATTGGTCTCTCTCTCTCTCTCTCTCTTTCTCTCTTTCTCCTCTTCTTATTTTATCCCCACTTTGCTATTGCTGCGTTCTCTCTCTCTCTCTCTCTCTCTTTCTCGCAAATACATATATACGCACATATTCTCTCTTTCTCTACTTATATGTCTCTTCCCGTCTTTTTTTCTTGTTTGTTCATTCATTCTTCTCTCTGTTCAACCACCGAATGGTTGACAGTCGAATAGACACCTCGGAAACGCCTTATTTCATTTTTATTCGTAAACGACCGAACGAACATCCGAATGAGCATTCGGATCGTTTGGTGATCTTAATTAATATTTCCACGAGAAATGTTCGATCTTAACAAATGAAACGACAATATTATATGTATGTATATACATTGGGCGTGAGTTCATTTCTTCGAACGTTACAAAATACGAACGATGCAAAGAATACGAGTAACAGAATAACGAATACGAAGGCGAAAGAAATAAAATTCCCAAGAATAAAAGATGAAAGTTTGTCGTTTTAAAATGATAAAAATAAAATCAAAGCAAAAAGATAAAGTGAAGAAAAAAGTGTAAGTATTAACCGTGAAGTATTAACGATGAATCAGATTGTTTTCAAAAAAATGTTATATATAATTTTTCTATAACTCACCGCAACAAGAGCTGCTAATCTATCCTTAGTCATGGCGAGGGTGACAAAGTGTTGCGAGTCAGCAAATGTACGGAGTGATGAGACTAGCGACTAATCCCATTCACGATTTTATCCATGTACTATGAGCACGACCACTAAAAACTAAAGGAAACGGACGCACTAGCGGCGAGAGACACGATCGTAAAATCGATACACTCGCGAACTCGCCTGCTTCTGCAGTGCCGTCCAGTGTGCTACGCATGCGCCGGTGACGTCAACTATATTCAGGACCGAAGCTAGACCTCATCGTAGCCCCATCTCAACGAACGCCCCCACCCTTTTTATTACCGATCACATTTACTTTACAAATTTTCTTTTCTATCATCGATATTTATATATCTGTAAAATAGAAAACGTTAGATTTCAAATCTTTTCAATTGTTCGATATTAAATTTATCGATATATAAATATCGTTTTATAAACGAATATCTTTGTAATTTATTATATTTCATTTTATCAATTAAATACGAAATATTGGAATCTTTTCTTATAAAAGATGATGATATGAAAAATATCGAAAGATATGATAAATATGATTTAGAATTTATTGTAATGTATTAATTTAACATGCTGAAACAAAAGGAAAAAAAAGGAAATAATTTATAAAAGAATTAAAGGAATTTCTTCGCTTCAAATTTAATCATTTACCGCCTTTACGTGCCCCAATGCATCATTCTATGTACTCATACTTTTATATATATATATACGTATATTATAATTCTCCCGTTAAAAACTGAAATTCTTCGATACCGGCTTCGATGTGGCGCGCATAAAATAGATGTCGCTAACTCACGTTATTTTCTTCTTATAATTTTTAAAAAAAAATACTCTCGTAAATATTATTTTGACAATTTAAATCAAAGAATATTCCAATTAAATTTTTTTATACCATATCAATTTGATACATTCATTAAGTTGAATTATATTTTACTTAGCGAATGATGAAAATGCGGACCCCTGTCGTTGACTCGAAGGAACGCCATTGTGAACCGTAACGACTGTGTTGCAGGGTAAATTTTATCGGTCATTTTCACGTACACGTTACTTGCCGGGAAATTTTGTACTAATATTCTCAGATTTTCGTAGATTTGTAGCAAATTAATCATCGATCGTACGATTTGTTCGATCGTTTGTGATTTTGATGAAATTAAGTGTAATCGTGTTGCTAGATTAACGCAAAAGCTTGTGGTTACGACGATAGGCGCCATTCTTTTAGTGGAACGTGGTGAATTTATACGTCGAATTGTCTTAAAGCGCGGGACACTGATCAACCGGCTTTTCAAATTATTATAAAAAAAAATATTAGCATTCTGGTAGGTATGTTTATTTTATTATATAAATACGACATACTATTTTCAAGTTATTACTAGTTCAATTCAAATATCATGATGTGTCGATCACGTTTTTGATGCGTGACTTTCGATCTGGCATCTTCATAGCAAGTATCGAATTTTTTTAATACATATAATAATCTAATAAGCTCTTTTATCGTAATAATCGCATCCATCTAATCAATTTTACATTCAAAGTCATTTATTTTTTCTAGATCTCCGTTTGACACTACATCTTTTTGGCTAGTCATTGGTATTAAAATGGCACAAGAAGCTGATATACCTACTTTCAAATGTGTATTAGTCGGTGATGGTGGTACTGGGAAAACAACATTTGTCAAACGGCATTTAACCGGTGAATTTGAAAAAAAGTACGTCGCAACCTTAGGTGTGGAAGTACATCCACTCATCTTTCACACAAATCGTGGTCCAATTCGTTTCAACGTTTGGGATACAGCTGGCCAAGAAAAGTTTGGTGGTTTAAGAGACGGATATTATATTCAAGGACAGTGTGCCGTCATTATGTTTGATGTTACATCAAGAGTGACGTACAAAAATGTACCTAATTGGCATAGAGATTTGGTTCGAGTTTGTGAAAATATACCTATTGTACTTTGCGGGAATAAAGTTGACATTAAGGATAGGAAAGTAAAAGCAAAGAGTATTGTTTTCCATAGGAAGAAGAATTTACAAGTGAGAAATCTATCTTTCTTTCTTTTGCTATTATCAATATTATATAAATTTGTAGATTATGAATCCAAATTTGATTTATTTTTTTCAAATTTCTTCTAATAAGATAACGTTTCATTAAAAAAGTAATCTTTTTTTCTATAATTATTTCAGTACTATGACATCAGTGCAAAAAGCAACTACAATTTTGAAAAACCTTTCTTATGGTTGGCACGTAAACTGATCGGTGATCCAAATCTCGAATTTGTCGCAATGCCAGCTCTTCTTCCACCAGAAGTTACAATGGATCCACAATGGCAGCAACAGATCGAGAAAGATCTTAAAGAGGCTCAAGAGACCGCATTACCAGAAGATGATGAAGACCTTTAGTTTGTCACATCGCGCTGTATAATACGAATAGAGGCAAACCATACACGTGCATGTAAAGTACGTTGCGTACTTGTGCCTCTTCATAGGTCAAAGATTCTTTCTTGGGTGGAATTAATGTATACATACATACGCTTCTGTTTCGTATCTAATGTAAATGATGGCAAAAATATTTCTAATATTTCACGTTTCTCGAGCTTTGTCCTTGAAGGTGTGCTACCAGGAATTGAACGTTGCGTTTTCGCGGATCAAGATTTCAAGATTGTGTAAATGTGCGTAAATGTATTAGACAGAAGGTCTAATTACATAAAAATATTGTCCAATTCGAGTATAGCGTATCCTTCGCCGATTTCATCGATAGACGTTAAATTGATGAAAACTACTTACTATAGAATAAAAAATTGTCCTTCTCTTTATTTACGTATTATGTATGGGTATGCGTGAGTACACGTATGTTGTTATGAAACGATGTATCTTGCGTAATGGATGCATAACTTTGTCGATCAATTAAATTTTCGGTTTTCTTTGAATCATCTATGCTTGTTAAAAACTCTTAAAACTCTTTTTTGTTGCCAATTTTATATGTCGTACATCGGAACAGTGTATGTGAATTGCCTGTATCAGAGTGGATGAACTGTGCTGTTTGGTAATATATAAAAATGTGAGAAATTAATTCTATAAGAAAGAATCTTTCGATATGGTCGAAACGCTAACATTATAAGCAACTGTTTACACACGCGTTTGCTTGTGCTCACGCCCTGTACACATATACACATACATATACACTAAATTTGAGAGATTCTCAAAGTAGTTGAATCTTTACTAAGTAAATAACATAACATTTTGCTGTTACATTACCAACGATAAACGAATCAAGGAATAGAATATCGATCGAATGAATAGTGCAACAATCGTTTTTGTGAATCGTCAAACGATTCTCAAACACAGTTGTATTTTGGAATAATGTTTCGAATGGAGCAAAGCACGGTTTGTAGTCAGTTGCGCCTGTCCACGATAATGCGGACTAATATTTTTATTAGCGAAGGTGAATGTATGATTTGTTCAACTTAAATTATATAAACAGTGTTTTTCTTTTCTATACAAACTCGTTCGTTTCGTTGGGAGTCGAAGTTACATACGTTCCTTTCCCCGATTCCTTTGTTTACTTGCTAATTAAATATATACCCGCATGTGCACGAGGGTAAAGTGTTGACAAATACCATAATATTTCTATGGTTAAGAGATAAACGCAAAAATATATACGATAAAATACCTCGTATCGTATATCGTATATTGTACCATTGATGTATTGGACTCAATAAATCATCGTTGAACTGTTTCTTAAAGTTTCCAACATTCTCGAATCATCTCAATAAATTTCTCATATTTCTCTTGGAAAAAATCACAATAAAAAGAAAGAAAATAACTTACGTGGACGACAAAGTTGAATCATTTTATAAAAAATGTATATTAAATCAATAATTTTATAAGAAATTATTTATTTATTTATTTGTTTATTTATTTGAGAAAGAAAAAAACAAAGATACTATTCAGTGATACAATGAAACAGTAATTCATATACATTTATAATAATAAACTGTATAATATGAAACCAATGCCAATATATATAGTAATTATCATTATTCTTATTTATTAATTACACAATAATATGTGATAATATAATAATAAGCACACATGTCAATATAGTCTAATATATCTGATTCTACTTGATTTCTTTCATTTATTTATTATATATGGAATAAATGCACTTAATATGTTAATAAGTTAAATTAACCTTTCGCTACTTCTTTTTTCAATACTTTCTTTTTACCTGTGAGAATCTCCAGTCGTTCGTATTCGTTAAGACTTGGCAAAATATTCGTAATTACTCCAGTTGCTAAAGTTGTCTTTCCGTCTCTTAAAGTAAATCGTTGTCCTTTTTCACACACCATAGGTCTTATTAATTTTAATTGAACACTAAAAACAAAAATTCATGTTCACATCATATTATAGTTGATCAAGTTACATACAGTTACAAGTTCATTTTTCTTGACCAAAAAATATTTAACGAAAACTTACGTAAAATCTTCACCAGGCATGACCAAACTCTTATTTATCAAATTTATTTGACTTGTACAATCCCATGTTTTGCAAAACATTTGAACTTGTATAAAATTATTGATAGGTTTTTTTCTACCTCCTTCCTCACCAGTCAACATATATACTTGACATTCCAAATGATCATTAGCTTTTATACTGCCTGGTTTACACATTACCATACCTCTTCTAATATCGTCTCTTTTTAAACCTCTAAGCAAAGCACCCATTTGATCTCCTGCTTCAGCCTCTTCCAACGTTTGATGAAACATTTCTATTCCCGTTATCGTGCTCTTTATTGTTTTGTTAAACCCAATCAATTCACATTCCATACCCTTTTTTATTTTTCCACGTTCCAATCTACCTGTGACTACTGTTCCTCTACCCGAAACCGTGTAAACATTTTCTATCGGTAATAAAAAGGGTTTGTCCAACTCTCTGAGAGGAGTAGGAATATAGCTATCCACAGCTTCTAACAACTTTAATATAGAATCATGTCCTATTTTTGGATTAGAATTATCTAACGCGCAAAGTGCACTTCCTTTAACAAAGGGTATATTATCTCCATCATAACCCATTTCATTTAATAGCTCTCTTAATTCCATCTCTACTAAATCCACCATTTCTTCATCCGCGACATCAACCTTTACAAGTAAATAAATACATATATATTTTAACATATTCCAAGCTTTTACACATATTCATAATCGATTTACCTTATTAATAAATACAACAATATGTTGGATACCAATCTGCTTGGCAAGCAAAAGATGTTCTCTCGTTTGTGGCATAGTACCATCAGTAGCGGCAACAACGAGAATAGCCCCATCCATTTGTGCTGTACCAGTAATCATGTTTTTAATATAATCCGCATGTCCAGGACAATCGGTATGACCGTAATGACGTTTATCCGTTTGATATTCAACGTGAGCGACATTGATGGTTATACCACGTGCTTTTTCTTCAGGTGCATTATCGATATCGGTATATTCTTTCGCTTGTGCCAACTCTTTTTCGGCAAGAACTATGATGAAATAATGAAAAATTTTGAGATGTATAGCGATAGAATTATTAAACGATAAACGATATATATATAATATATAATGATGTATATAATATTAACGAAAAACGAAAAAGTTGAGAAAAAAATACCTTTAGTAATAGCTGCTGTAAGTGTCGTTTTTCCATGATCCACATGTCCGATAGTACCGACATTGCAATGCGGTTTATCTCTGTTAAATATTTTTTTCGTGCTATAAAATTTTTGCGTTATCGATGAATAACTCCCTGCTCGTAATTGTCCATAAAATTGCTAAAAAAGAATAGAATATATCGATAGAAGAATTAATGATTATTAAAATTATGATGCATTTTCTTACTTGTTTAACAAGATGTTCAATTAGAAACACTTGCTTTATTGTGTATCGAAAACCTGAAAAAAGAAAAAAAAACATCTTTTCAAATACTTTTCGTTCGATACGATATTAAGAAAAAGATGAAATTTTCTTAAATTCAATTTGATCGAAATGGCTTCCATCTTTGAGAAACCAAGATATTACATTTTTACATAATGTTGAAATGAAGGAATATGGAATAAATCATCCATCATAATTCGGTATAATGGATATATTACATATTCACTTACCAAAATCGCAAATAATTTTTTTACAACTAAACGCCATGTTTCATTCAAAATTTACTTCACACTTAACCTTTATTTCCAACGAAATCTTCGAACCACGAACACGATGAGGGCGACGCTCGTGGACAAACTATCGGACGAATTGCGTAACAAGATATTTAATTACATTATATATAAATATATAAACAAAATACTTTGTATTTTAATTATTCTTTTTTTTTTTTCCTATACTAGAAATAAGAAATTTAAAAATAATTCTTCACTGGTCTAAATTATTTAATTGCGCAAAATCGTACATCGTATCTACTCTTCATTTTTTGATTGGTTGAATACATCGTGGTGCATTCGTTCCAAAGATATCAAATTTGTACTTACATACATTATATTTATATATCTTTTTTTTTTCGAATATTTTTTACATCACAAGGAATCGAAAATTTTTAATTAATTAAAAAACTAAAATACTAAAAAAAAAAATGAAATGAACGATAAATCGATAATTATTTTACGATATACGCATATTCGAGATATGATCGAGAATCGATTTTTCAAAAAAAAGAGAAAGAAAGATGCGTGCGTGTATACGATGCGAGGTAAAATTAATAAGTGAATCTAATTAGTTCGAAGAAAATAACGAGTCATGAAAGTAAGGTGAGAGAAGATGTAGAAGTTAAGAGAATCTCGCGAAGACTATTATTAACATCGTTATAATATAATTTCGAGATACTCGGTTAGATAAGAATTGGGATACACTGGGAATAAAAGAGATTAAATTAGATATTTAAATAGATTCCGGATATCCTTATTCGCACATTCCGAAGGTAATCGTAAATGGAACGAGTGGTCGACGAACATCGAATTATGGAAACGAGTGACTCGACGAAAATACATCGAATTAAAGCGCGTCGCATTTTGCGGGAATCGCATCAAATCGTAAATAAATTTGCACGGTAAAACATAACATTTTGAAATCATCAATGTTATTATCATTCTTCTTTAATAAAATGTAAAGTTGCGAGCTTAATTTTTCAACGATAATAATGGAATATCAAAAGAAAATAATAAATTTCAAAACAAAATTACTGTTTTCTCTCTTTCTCGATACACGTACCGTTTTCAGATATTCTCATAACAATCTTTTATCTCGCGTCCAAGGTGCGTTCTACGACGTTCTCGCGGCTGGCTCTTCTTTTGTTCGAGTCTCGGTCGAATATCCATTTACATTCCAGCCCAGTCCATCGCGTCGCTTCCTGTTTCTCGAGCGGTTCTCCGCGTGCCGCTTGCCGTTTCATCCTTCCTCCGCTTATCCAACGGAGCACATGTAGAAAGAACATAACTCGCACGCGTCTCGATCACGAGAGTCGAACGTGTAAGGGGTAAGTTGTGAAATGACGTCGGCTCGACGAAACGGTCGGTTAACGATACCGTTTGTTCGTGCGATGAGGCCCACTTGCACCGGTAGATGTACCGGTGCGACGTCGCGACGTCGAGAAAGGGAGGCGCGCGCGCGATCGAATAACAAACAAAGAGAGAAGGGGATGTAACACGTCGAAGCGTGCGACGTTCGTACGTTTCGTTCTGGAATACCAATGAATTTTGAAGTATTCGACGCGTGACCCGAATTCTATTCCTTCGCCACCTCCTTCTTTTCCTTTTTCTCACTTTTCCATTTACGTCTCGGTTTACGTCTCGCGGTTCGTCGAATCTATCAAACGCCCAAGATCCAACGTAACAACAGAATAAACTGACATTATCGCCCGCGAAATGGTAGGATCGCGGAAGGAAGAGCAATAAAGAGGGATCAAGACTAGGAGACCGAGACCGAGACCGAGAACGTGGTAAAGAAGTGGGAGACCGAGGGAACACGGTTGTGTCCGCTTTTCCATCCGTTCGTGCACGGGGGCCAAAAGCGGCGGAGGGCCGCTCAGTTTGCCTTCAGTCATACCAAAGAACGCGCCGGATCCCATAGTAGCGTTCGCGTATCCGTGCAAGATAGTCGATAATCTCACGATTACCTTCTTTTTTCACAGAAGGGGAAAAGATTCTAAACGGACAACGATGGAAGGCAACGTTGTCGGTGGGACGATCGTTCTTCTATTGATCGCGATCAGTCTTTCGGTAAGTTTCGCATTTCTTATACTCTTCTCGACGTTTTTTTGTTCTGACCTTCGCTTTACGGCCGCTCGTAAATCGCTCGTAAAAGTCGAAACGATCTCTAGGATAATTGCCAAAAAGATGGGAGGTTTCGTAGGGAAAGTATAGAATCGCGATCAACAGCTGACTAACGGTGCACGTTATACTGCTACTACGAATGTCGCGCTCATCTCGTTCGTCATCGCGTTTCTATTTTTCCCCCCAAACCGCTATTCTTTCTCCTCCCTCCGCTCGTCCGCTCTATTCCTTCCGCGTTTCCACCTTTACCGTGACCTGCTGCTGCTGCCACCGCGTTTCTCGAGCGCTTATTGTTCGAGGTTGATGAGAGTTGAAAAAAGCGATCGAGGTGACGAGGCAGGAAACAGCGGTAGAACGATAGAGCGAGCGAGCGAGCGAGCGAGAAAGAGAGAGAGAGAGAGAGAGAGAGAGAATAGGAAAGTAGGAAAACGTGGGTAAAACGAGCCAGTTCTCTCATTGTACGAGGAAAACGAAACCATACAAAGATTCTCATATTCTATTTCAGGAGATTTCGGCCTTGGCAACCAGCGTTCCAAGTTACAAGCTGAACGATCGATGCACCAAAGACGCGGAGTGCGAATCGAGCATCGAGGGTAGTCAATGCCACTTTGGTCGTTGTCGCTGTTTGCCCTACTTTGCCGCGTATAACGGAACCTACTGTCTCGAGGGTGAGAATTAATCGTCGCTTTATCGGTTCATGGTGGTTTTTCAATCGCGAGACAACGAGAAATAACGAGCATTCGTTTCGTCTCTCTCTTCACGATTCCACAGCGACCCTTCTCGGCCAGGAGTGTTTGGTCGACGAACAATGCACGTTGAAAGTGGCCAACAGCAATTGCTCGGACGGATTGTGCGGCTGCAAACACGGCTTCCTTCAATTTCGTCGACACACGTGTCTCGGTCGTAAGTTTACTTCTTTCAATGATGGGTTACTTCTATAATTTATCGTTCGTAATAATAATCGAAAATAATTGTAAAAATAATAAAACTTAAAGTAATTTTACTATATATATATGTATATACCCTAACATCGATCGAAGATAGATCTCGAGGAAAATAAAAAATAATGTTTCAGCGGCGAAACTCGGCCAAGTTTGCTACGAGCATGCCCACTGTCGATTATGGGAGGCGAATTCGCACTGCGATTTCCTGATCCCGAACTTGTTCGGTCATTGCCAATGCACCGCGCCTACCCGCCGGGAGGCCGACGTTTGTCGGCCGGACGATCTGGTCAGACCTCCGCCTTTGTTCGACGATTCCTTACCGATCATTACCGATCGAGTAATCCCTACGGGAGAAGAGAAGGAGGAGGAAACGGGTAAACGAATCGTGGATACATACAATAATTAAAATACCAAAAATACCTTCTTCCTTTCCCTTTTTCTTTTTCAAGGAGTTGAAATCGCCTGGCTGAAGAGGAACGAAACTCGATCGACATCGGCCACCTTCTTACCGACGGATTCGATCGACTCGAACGAAGACGACGCGATCGTCGTCGAGGCTGCCAACGAGACCGGGGTTACCAACGGTGCATGGTTGTTGTCAGGTAAACAGAGAGACAGAGAAAAAAGAGAAAACGGAGAATATCGATCGAAAATTATTTTTCGTAGCGTCGTCGCCGTTCAAGACGGATCGAGAAGTGGACGCGGCGAGCACCGTGCCATCGCCACCGTTCTCACCGGTCACCTTGGGCCACGATTGCGTCTCCGATTTCGAGTGTCGATCGGCCGATCCCCATTCCAGATGCATCGATCGAGTATGCGAGTGCGAATATCGAGGGAACGGGAGTAGCTGCACATCGAGGAAGACGGGATGCGCGGCTGGCACGTTCCAATGCAAAAGCTCGGGGATCTGTATCAGCTGGTTCTTCGTCTGTGACGGGAGATCGGATTGCGAGGACGGCTCGGACGAGCGTTGCTCGATCTCGGGGAAAGGATCGAGGTGTCCCGAACAAGCGTTCAGATGCGCGCGAAGCGACGTTTGCGTGTCGAGGGCGGTGATGTGCGACGGGAAACGGGATTGCCCGCGAGGCGAGGACGAACTCGGATGCAACGATCGACGAAGTAAGTCGGTTTCATCTTTCATTCTATCTTCGAGTAGTCGTCGCATCGCGTGAGGATGAATCTGTTGTTGCAGAGTGTCCGGAGGGCGCGTTCAGATGCAACAACGGGCAATGCCTGCCGGCGTACGAGTTTTGCAACGCCGTGGTCTCTTGCCGGGATGGAAGCGACGAGCCTAGGGACGCGTGTCGGAGGCAAGGAAGGGGGGGAAGGAACGCGATGGCGGCGTCTCGATGCCCGTTCAGATGCGACAACGGCAGGTGTCGTTCCGACGCGATCGCCTGCAGCGGCCGCGACGGTTGCGGCGACGGTTCCGACGAGAGCCGCTGTTCCGTTTGCAGTCAGTATATAGGATGATATAATATACTTATCTGCTTATTTTTATCCGTTTATCTTTTCGCGATTCGGTCCAATCTCATCCGTCGTTACGTTGTTTCAGGATGTTCGCCTTTCCCTTAAATCTTATCGAAGCGGAAACGATTTCCGGATTCGACGATACGAGAGATACGTTTACGAAGGAAGGGGAGGATATATATATATGTATATGTATATGACGGAATTGCGATTGGAAATAAAGGAATTGAGAGAGAGAGAGAGAGAGAGAGAGAGAAAAAAAGGAAAAAAGTGGAAATATCGATCGAAATTTTCTTCATATTGATCGAATCCTCGAATCTCGCCGTTCCTCCGTTCCGCTCCGTTGTCCGTGTTCTTCGTTCCGTCGCGTCAGGCGAACGCGGAAGTTCGATTTGGCCACGTTTCGATTCGAAATTGGAGGAGGATGCGCGCATCTGCGCGAAACGTGGCAACGCGTCGGTGGGATGGGTACGCGTCGATAGTGTGTCTCGCCTCGAGCCCCGCTTTCCGAATCACGGCCACGAACGACCACGAAATCATCGCGATTTTTTCTTTCGTTCGTCGATCCATCCCCGTAAAACGTTTCGCCATCGCTTCGCCAACTTCCTTTCAGCGATCCTCGCGCGATATCGAGCGGCCAAACCCTTCGACCGAAAACCTAACCTCGCATTCGTCCGCCGTCCCGTCCCGTCCCGTCTCGTTTCGTTTCGTTTCGTTTCGCTGTGGCGTTGGCATACGTTTCATTTCCAAGTCGAACGCGGTCGAAACACGGTCGACGATTATTCGACGGTCGTCCGAATGATAGAAGGCGAGTAACGGCCGATTTTACGCCTCGTTGTTTACTCGTCAGGGATCGGACACAAAGGAATCACGGCGCTCGATGATCGTGCGATCGGTCGTGGCGGTCGCGTCGAGGCGACGGTGCACGGTGCGCGGAAAAGTATGGTCACGACGTGTACTGTCTCGAACGACCTTGGCCGATCGAAGAACGTGGAAGAAAACAACACGCGAAAAACAAAAAAGAAAGGACGAAACTTGTCCTCGTTCCTCGATTGCCTTCGCCGACGACCTGGCTTCGTCCTTTTGTTGCTGCCCGCCGCTCTCCTGGCCAGCCTCTACGCGGTCTCTTCCGAAGAGGATTACGATTTCGATCCACGATATTTCTATAACAACAACGACGATGATGATGACAACGATGAGGACGACGAAGCGAGGCTCGACTCCAAGGGTAAGAAATAAAAGAGAAATCTATTCGAAGAATAGGTAAGAAACTGTTTTCCTTTTTCCTCTCCTCCCTCCATCAGCGACGTTGGACGGGTATTTAGTATGGAATCCGAGATGTCAGATGCCGTCCAAGAAACCTTTCGATCCATCCATCCTTCCTTACGTGAAGAGAGAAAAGTTCGAAAGATGTTCGTCCACGCCACCGTTGACTAGAATCACCCGTCGGGAGAACGGCACTATCGTCCTTTCCTTGGATCCCGCAGCGAACTCTTCCCGTCTCAAGTGCTGCTGGTCGGCCGTGTTCAGAGGCGAGAAACAACCGAAGAAACCCAGCAAGAATAACAACGTCGATACCTCGATCGTGTGAGTGTCTTCTTCTTCGCGAGAGTGGAAAGAAACGCGAAGCAGGTAACGCGATCTAATCGCAACGACGTTGGAACGTGAATCTCTTATTTTTCTTTTTTTTTTTTTTTTTTTTTCCCCCCCTTTTCTTTCCTTTTTCCAGAGTGAAACAATGCGAGAATTTCGAGGGGGAAACGAGATTGGAGGAGGAAGGGGCGGAAGCCGCGTTGGTGAGTTGCAACCTGGTCGAGTCGACGAACGGAACGGAAAAGAAGAAATCGAGACCGATCTACGAAAACGTTCACGCGATCCTCGACGCGAGTAAAGTGGCCGATCGATCGTCGAGAAATGATACGCAATTACTTTCCATCTCGAAGAAATTGAGCGTTCTCATGTTAGGGATCGACAGCGTGAGCCGTTTGAACTTTATACGAAGCGCGCCCACCACCGAGAGATACCTCCTCGAGACCGGATGGATTCGACTCGACGGTTACAACAAAATGGGCGACAACACGTTCCCAAATCTGATGGCGATCCTCACAGGGCAGAATCAGCAACAGGCGTACACGATCTGCAAACCTACCGTCCCCACCATGCTCGATCGTTGTCCTTTCCTCTGGCGAAATTTCCGGGACGCGGGATACGCGACCGGTTACGGGGAGGACGAGACATCTCTCAACACGTTCAATTATCTCAAGATGGGATTCTTTCGGCCACCGACCGATTATTACCTTCGACCGTACATGCTCGCTTGCGAGAAATTGCTCAAAGTGAAGAAGAGGTAAGAAGCTTTTCCTTTTTCTTTTTACTTCCTTCTCTTCTACGCTCCACGATGGTGTCCTCTCTTTCTCTTTTTCTGGCAGATTCGGATTGAAGTATTGCACCGGGCCCGAAACGAGCTTCGACAGAATCTTGGATTACGCGATCGAGTTCGCCAGCTCGTTTCCTCTCGATCTACCGTACTTCGGCTTTTTCTGGACGATCAGCGTGAGCCACGAAAACGCGAACGGATTCTCGTCGATGGATGATCGATTGCTCGACAAGTTGAAACGAATGGAGAGGGAGGGGGTGTTGAACGAGGCGATGATCGTGTTGCTGAGCGATCACGGGATGCGATGGGGACCGATCAGAGACACGTTCGTCGGTTGGTACGAGGAGCGACTACCGTTCCTTTACGTTTGGCTGCCGAAATGGTTCCGGGACGAGAGGCCGGGGGCGTATCGATCGCTACGCGCCAACCGGAATCGGCTTACCTCCCCCTTCGACCTGTACGAGACGTTGAGGGAGGTGTTGAGTTTGTCGGGTGGGAGGGCGAATCCGGCCTCCGGTTGCCCAAAGTGTCGAAGCCTCCTCTCAGGTCCCGTACCCCGAATCAGAGGTTGTTCCGACGCTGGCATCTCCTCCCATTGGTGCGCGTGTACCACGTTCCAACCGGCCGATCCCCGCGATCCCCTCGTCCGTAGAGGATTGCGAACGTTTCTCGAGCATGTGGACAACGTGTTGGACCGGTATCGGGACAAGAGGGGCAGACGAGTGTGCGCGAGACTCGGTTTGAAGAAGTTGCATAGAGTGGATCAGGTGATCAATTTTGAACGAAATCGCGATAGCAACGGTAGCCGCGTCTATTTCTATCTGATACAGGTGAGCCCGGGCGACGGAAAGTTCGAGTTCACCGTTCGATACCACGGCGAGAACGGTACGTACACCGTGTCCGATCACGACGTGAGCAGACTCAATTCTTACGCCTCGGCCGCCGAATGCCTGAATCGTGGGATAAAACAATATTGTCACTGTCTCAAGATAAAACGATGAAGGAGAAATCAAGCGTGGTATAATATAAACACCTATCTTCCTGTGGTGTATAATTTTTGGACAAAATTAATGGATATATATATATATATATACTATATATACATATACATATATTTTTTTTACTACGCATCTGTTTAAACGATCAAAAATTAATTCACAAGTTAATTCACAACTAAACGGTGACTCGTCGGCAGACGTACGAAAAAATAAATAATAATTTTTCGCAAAAACGTATATTCGTTTCTTTCTTCTCTTTCTCTCTCTTTCTCCCTTCTCTTTTCTTCTCTTTCTTTCTCTTTCTCCTTTCTCTTTTCTTCTCTTTCTTCTCCGTCTCGATTCGCATCGATTTCGCGAAACGAAAGAGAGACCAACGATCGATCCATCAATTGAACGCGGCAGCGTCCAAGCTTAACCGAGAAACGCGACCGATCTCGCGAATCGTGGCCTGCTCGTTGCCAATACCTTGCGTACGCCGTCGTCGATGAATCGGCCCGTGTTCCGGTGTCCCGAACAACATCACCGTCACCGATTTCTTCCGTCGGGGATGCGACACCGTTAAACCCCTCCTCGCCAAAAATCCGTCCAGGATCCTGATCCCCTCGTACAAACTCTCGAGATCGCAGCTCGAGTATCGTCGATAGTTTCTTCCCACTCCTCCTCGTTCGGGCCACGAGTCGATCGAGGCCGGGTCGGAAGCGTGCAAATGTCTCCGTATAGCCGTTTCTAATTCGCCGTTGCTCAATTTCTCGTAACTGCCCACCATCGATCCCACGGTCGTCGATGTTCTTCCCAGGTAACAATCGCGCGCGCATACCGACAATTTCCTCATCGATCTTCGGAACGTATCGCACGGGGTCGAGGAGATAGACGCGGCGCTCGATCCACCGCTGTTACCACCTACATTCTGCCTTTTCAACAATTTCACGATCGTGCTCCTCGCTCGATCCAATCCTCCTCTCTCTTCCTCTTCTTCCTCTTCCTCCTCCTCCTCCTCCTCCTCCTCCTCCTCCTCTTCCTCTTTCCCCTTCCTCGTTCCTACCTCGCTTCCTTCGAAATCCGCCGAGATCACGGTGGCGCAACCGCATGCACCTTCGCAAGAACATCCAGTCTCCGATCTAACGCCGTCCGTCGTCGAGGTTTCGTCTTGCGATGACCGTTCTTTCGGATCCGCGCTTTCCTCCATCTCCTTCTCCTTATCCTCTTTCCTCGCCTCCGCGGTAGAAGAGGAAGCAGGTTTCGTTTCGATAGGAAGAACGCGCAAACTTCTTCGCTGGAAGCAGGATCCAATCGAGTGTGGACCGATCGTCGTAGATCGGATCGAATTCCAACTGTGACGAATCTGCGGATACGCGCCGAGAACTTGGACGTCGAGATACGAACCTCGATTCAGATTTCCCTCCTCTAGCGCGGAGGACGAGATTCGAGGATCGTTCGATCGACGAAACCAGTTCCTTCGTTCCGTTCTATCTTCTTCCTCTCCTTCCTTTCCATTCCTGTCATCATTGTCATCCTCGTCGTCCTCGTCGTCTCGCACGCCTGAACGTGAAATGAAGAAGTTTGAAAAACTTCGTCATTGGCTTACATACCGTTCACTGGTGAAAAGAAGTTTCGCGGAAGGAATGCGAGTCTAATTTGGAAGTAAATTTTCACACGTATTTTTGTTGTTTCTCGTCGTGTCGTATTCATCACGTATACCGATCCAAAACGATAATCTATATACAAACTTTTTATGCTTAAAGTAGAGACACATAAAATCCAGAGAATTCTAACGTGTCGATATGTTATAAAAATTTTTTTTATTTTTCATCGATATGCGAAGGTTAAATTATGATTTGAAACGATAATTTAATTTATAAATGTAATTTCATATTCGAATAATTAAAATAATAATTGTATGATGTATACGAATATTTCAACTTTCAATCTTAAAAGATTATTCTAACACAAATGAAAGTAATTTTTATGATTTTGAATGTTTAGGTTATTTATAAATTATAGCTTTTTTATTATTATGTAGCGTGTGGTGTCAGGTTTGTCAACAAAGCGCTTGAAGTGAAGATAAGCGATCCTAGCGAAAGATCCCTCTTACCTCTGTGCCGTCCCGCAAGACTTCTCTTCAGCAACGAACTATACTATATTATATCTCCGCCAACTTTGTCGAAATTTTAAATCAACATCTTATCTAATAAATTTTATTCTTTTCTTTTACTTTCCTTATATTTTTATATAAATTCTTTCAAAATTAGCTACGACTAACATCCTCGATCATCATTTCCATCTACTTCTCGATCGAAATCTCACATTTGTAACATTCTAAACGATTCAATCTATTTTCAATATCAATTTTTTTTCAATATTTCGAATCATATTTCTTTTTTTAAAAATATTTTCTTTGAAAAAAATTTTAACGTTCAAAAAAATCATTAAAAAAGTACTTAAAATCGAATCAAAATAAAAAAGCAAAAATAAGAAAAATTATATTTAATCATAATTAAATAATTTACTATAAATATATAAAACTATAATATTATCGTTAAAATGAATAAAACGTAACAAAAGATACTAATAATTCTTACAAGAACAACCAAAAAATTAAGAAGATAAAAAAAAAATTTAATCAAATCTTTATACATATATATATATATATATATGTATGTATGTGTAAATTTTATTAATATTTTATAAATTGGTAATAATACAAAAAATTACTATCAAAAATATCGATAAAATAATCAAACGAAATGAAAATTAATATTTTATATAAACCAACTACTTACTGGCGTTCGAATCAGCGGCCAGTAATCCGGATACGCTAAAGTGTCGCGATATAGATCCCGGAGGAGTGACGTAGGGAGGTGGTGGACTCTCCGGCAATCGAATAGCGCGGTTCTTCGAAGATATTTCCGGATCTTGATTACCGCTCGACGTACCCGCCTCGATGATGGAACAAACGGAGGATCGACCTCCCCCCACTTCCAATCTTGCAAGATGGAAACAACGTTCAATGTACTGTTCACTGCTTATTTTTTCAATAAAGGCTTAATGCCTAACTCTGACTGCTGGAAAAAAGTTTCGCGGTAAAAATGCGGTGATTGATTTTTTTTGGAAGGAAACGCTTCAATGTATTAGAATTCAGAAAATTCTAACGTAATCGATATAATATAAAATTTTTTTTATTTTTTATAATATGCATTAGGCTAATTACGATTTGTACAATAATTTAATTTGTAAATATAATTTCGAATAGCTAAGATAATATTTCTCGAAATAATTATATGAATAATAATTTAGAAAATATTTCAACTTTCACGCTTAGACGATCATCCTAACGTAATTTCATAAATGAAAATAATTTTTACGATTTTGAATATTCAAATTATAGCTCTTTTACTATTATGTATAATGTATAGTATAAGAATTGTCAAGAAAACGTTTGAAGTGGGTATAAGCGGACTCCTGTAATATCCCGCGAGATTTTTTTTCAGCAATAAATAATACGAACGAGAGCGAAAAATATAATATATATGAGTCGGAACTTACGAAGAACCTTGAAGACTTGAAGGAGAGTTTCTACCTCGAAACATTCTTCGCTTCTTCCGACCAATCATCTCCGAGTCGAATCCGAGCTTCACCACTTCGTCGTAGCCCGGTGGCGCCTCGTATACCGGGGGATCGTCCGTTACGGAAATTTCGTCGATCCGCGCGCCGTCTGCAATGTCGAAAACTGTCGAAAGTGATAGGTGAGAAAGGGCCGCGCGTAATCGGCTACATCGCGCTTCCTATCGCGTCTTCCTACCTAGAAGCTCGCTGATCGTTTGCAACCTCGATTGAAGTTCCCTCTGTTGTCTGGCTCTTGCCCCCATTCTGTACAGCAGGATGATCAACGCCGATATCAAGATAATCAGGCCGAGGCTACTCGCGACGAACACCAACGTGGCTGTCTTCAGATCCGGATATCGATCGATCTTGGGAAAGTAATAGTTGGCCTTGTTCGCGTGCCACTTTCGATCCTCAGCTTGATCTTCCATCTCCCAATCTTTTTTTGTTTTTGTTTTTGTTTTTTNTTTTTTTTTTTTTTTTTTTTTTTTTTTTTTGCCGAACAAAACGTCGATTCGAGGCGCGAATCGCTTTAACGGACGGATACTTTACCTCGAAAACATGTGGCTGGCTCGTCGCTGTTGTCCCCGCAATGGTCGAACCCGTCGCAATTCAGTTGACTCGGTATGCATCTGTGGTTACGGCAAAGAAAATCCGAACCGGCGAAACAATCTGCGAAAAATGGGAAACAACAACAATTTCGAAAATATCCGTCTCGAAAGTTCAAGTTTTTCTCGCTCACCCATGTAGCTGAAAGCCGCGTACGCAATGGCAAGATGCGAGGATGGGCCGAACGTTCCTCGCAAGCTAACGTGAAACCCGCTCGCCACTGGCGCCACGTGTTCCCTGTACCTAGACTGTTGAACTTGACTGGCCGGATGCCTTAAAATCTCGAGCGGTAAAAGGGCCGAGGTTGGTCCTTGTTTTATCACCAGTTCCGTATTCCCGGCTGAAATCATCACAGTGATAACATCTACGAGGAGTGAAAGAAGAAGAAGAAGGAATCCCGCTCACCCATATCCGCGAAAGTGATCACCTTCAGATACATATGCGTCTTCAAGTGTAGAAAATTCTTGGGTGGTCTGATCAACCAGACACAATCGTACGTCTTCACGCCTTCACCGACCATGTCCATCATGGTGATGGCACCGCCAAGATTTTCCACGTATCCCCCGCAATCGGTTATCGGTTTCACTGATTTGTCCAACGAATGCCCGATCACGAAGGAGTAGAATGCCTTATAACCTAACCCAGTCCCACCGTTCGCGTAGAATCGTATCAGCAACGAAGGGCCCGAGCTCATTATTACCGGTGGACGAAATCTCGCTCCGCTGCTCACGTCCAGACGTTGACCGTTCCAATCGTAGAACTGTACGAATGATACTGTACGATAGATACGTATGACAGATATATCATATCCATCATCATCATTTTCCACTTACCTCCATTATCGACACGGTGGCCAATTGAAAATCGCTGAACAACAATCTGATGCGGCAAGACGATGCCTCGTTAGGACACATGACCACGTATTCCAAGCCTAGATCGCGAGGATACCGGGCTGGGAAGAACGGCGATGTTAAAATCCCACCACCGGTGTTGTTCAAACCTTTTGCTGCTTGACCGGTCAATTCCGTACCCTTTAAGTGCAATCTGTTTCCTATGTGGATCAAATCACGTTGATCAATCGTTTTTCCTTTTTTTTTTTTTTTTTTTTATAACCACTTACTCTCTGCCATATACTCGAGAGTGAACGCGTGCATATGCGACTGACTGTAGAACAACGTGATTGACAAGGTTCTCGTGCTGGATTTATAAGTGATGGGTGCGTACAATCCGCAAAATGGTGTTCCGGACACATCCTCGTACGGTGGCTCCGAGATCCATACGTAATCGCATCTATACAAAACGAAAAGACGTGGGGAAAAACGTGTGTGTAAAGATCCGGCAAAGCTGCATATAGGAGTTACCTGCACGGGCTGTCCATCGTAATTGTACCGTCGCCGCAATGATGGGACAACGCGATGGTCTGGAAGGTGACTATTATCACGCAGGAGGGACATGTGACCAACTCGAGACTACATTGAGCGTGGGAACTGTTACTCGTATATACGAGCGAACCCTCGCCTTTCCTCGCCTCGTTTCTCACCATCGAAACATTCTTCGCGTACAAAATACCCTTTTCGCCCAACTCCAGATACAATCGCCGACCGTTTTGAACTCCGCAGATATCCTCGTTCCGAACAACGTTCCCCTCGATCATCGCGGCGATCGACAACCACAGTAACATCCCTGTAATCGTTTTCAACGCCAATAACGCGATTTCGATGATTCTCCTATGCTTATTTCATCTTTCGCTCGTTTCTATTCCGCACACACGCATCATCGCTTACTCTCCTTCTATCTCCCCCCCCCCTCCCCTCTTCTCTCCATTCTTTCAATTTTTTTTTAATCAGCCACGCACCAATACCAATTTTCGCTCGTGTCACTCTCGGTCGAAATCTTACCGAGTCTAAACCGATGATGCATCTTCTTTCGATGAAAGGAAAAAACGTTCTGCCTTTCGAGAAACTACCATCGCGATTTACCATCTACGTAATTTCATTAGTTCCCAACGCTGTTACGTACCTTCTTATTACCGTATCAAGCATTTTTATGGTATCTTTTCCACACTCCCGCTCCCTCCCCATCCTCTCTCTCTCTCTCTCTCTCTCTCTCTCTCTCTCTCTTTCTCTGTCGTTTTAAAAGTGGACAAATGCCTCTTCACCTATACACCTTTCAGATTTCCATCTTTTTATTTTATCGATGCGATACTTTCAGATTCTCGAATAAATAAATATTTCTTTCTCTTTTTGTCTTTTCTTACTTCTTCATTTTTTCAAGAAAAAATCTTTTCCAGATGATTACTTACGGAGGAATTATGAAAAATCAAACTATTTGTAAGATTGGAAATTTTTATGTAACGTAACACGTTTCCGTGTTACAATTTTTTACATAGAAGAAATGAAAATAGAAAATGAATATAATATGACTGGCTCGCTCGATAAATTTTATTCATTGTTCATCCCGAATTTGCGATCCCATGTAATATCGATCGAGTAAGTAAGTCAGGATATTTGCTATACACTTTACGATCTAGAATGATGAATGAAGGAATAATATCGAAATTCAATCGGAAAAGTTGTTAAGATTGATGATTTCTTAGAAATAATTCTTTTGCTATGTCCTTTCGTATATTCTTTTGACACTATTTCGGTACTTTGAATTTCGATATTATTGCTTATAAGATATATAAAAATAATAAAAAAAAAATATGTATATGCAACTTTTAATGTAATGGCTCACGTTGCATAAAAATTGAATTGAATAGAACTCTGTTCGAACTTTTAATCAATAGGCTAAAAAGATAATTAATATCGGATTCGTTTCTCGAGCGAAAAAAAATTTTCAGGACAATTATGGACGAAGAGAGGAAATGATGGGACAAGGATAGAAATAGAGTAAAAATATTGAGATCAGCGTCAAATCTTGAGAGTGCCGTAAATGAAACACGCAAAGAAAGAACGGAAAATGGTGGGAGAAGGATAGAGATAAAGCAAGAATCGACACTTAACGCCATCTCTGGATTGGACTTTTCGAAAAAAATTGTTCTTAGAAAAGATGACACTGATGATCAATTCTTATCGTATTTATCTTTCTCTCACTATTTTCCTCTCCTTACACAACTGATGCCTGTTCAAACTAATCTTTGTAAAATAAAATATTTATTCTTTATTCCTTGCAATTGTAATTTTATATTGTTGAAATTTTCAATTTCAATCGTTATTGATATCGCGATTTTATTCGTTGCCGTGAATCGGTAACAAAAAAAAGTATCAAATAACTAATGCGTAATTATTATCGTGTCAATCGGTAATAACTTTCGAATTTTACTTGTGAAAAAATACGTCAGATGCCTCTGGAGAGAACATGGAGAGAAACGGAAAGAAAATTTACCTTGTCTCTCATTGTCAAAACAAAATATGAAGAAAGACTTGGAATTGCTGTCCGTATCGCGTGATTATTCGGATAATACATTAAGCATGGATCTTGCTATAGATTTAGAAAGGCAAAGATTTCCATTTTGTATAGTTTGGACACCTTTACCGGTTCTTACGTGAGTAAAATGGAAAAAACTAAATGCATCGAATTGGTGCATCACATTAACCTAACTCGATATCGCATCAAAATTAATTAAACTAATTTATATACTCTTCGAATCAAATATTTACGAATATATCGGTTTTTCTGGCTTGGCAATTTTTATTCCTTGATATCGCAATCTCGAAACGTATATATTTTCATCTTCATTCTTAAGGTATTTTTTACCGATTATCGGTCATATGGGTATTGCCACTTCTACTGGTGTGATCCGAGATTTTGCCGGTCCATATCATGTTGCCGAAGATAGTATGACATTTGGAAAACCTACCAAGTATTGGCAATTGGATTATACCAAAGCCAAAGGAGGCGTGCAGGGATGGGATTCTGCCGTTGCAGAAGCTAGTGAAATCTATAAAGGTAGAAAGGTAAGCTTATTAAATATATTCCTAAAGCCAGAAAATATTTTTCTAATCCTAATCTTTCCCCATTATTAAATCTATTATTCTTTCTTCACAGCATTATATATGTTATGATAATTGTCATTCACATGTAGCAACAGCATTAAATCTAATGGCGTACAATAATTCAACTAATTGGAACATGATAAAACTAGGATTCCTTATACTTACGCATGGAAAATATGTGAGGTAGGAAAGATATTTTTAACCGTATTTTTTTACACAAACGTAAACACGGTTAATCGTTACACGATACGCGTGTATTTTTCAGCTTTACAGGTTTCCTTAAAACATGGATGCCATTCATATTTCTCGTCATTATCATGACTTCATTATGTTTGTTACTACGATAAGATCTTCTAAAATATTTAGATAACGTTCGCACATCTTCTTTCTTGCTCGATTATATTTGATATTTATATTAGCCGAAACATCGTTATTCGTACAACATTGTATCTCGATGAAAAGATCGATCATTTAATAATACTTATTGTTTTATTAAAAGATATATACATCGATATTTAAAAATTACACGTGTGTTACAAATGTATAATTTCGTTATCTATAATATAGAGTATATTTAAACTTATCGGATAAGCGATTTATCTTACACTGGAAACGCATAGAATCGTGAACGTGTCATCTTTGAACAATAAATTTGTGCTCGCACGTCATTGAGTGTTATTAAGCCATTGCAGTTTATATTATTATCTCGCTTTTTCTCATTTTCATTTTCTTTTCTTCTCTCGTCAAACGTAAAATGATGAAAATCAACAAAAATATAAGAGTGGATTTTTCATATCAACCGATATAGCCGATATGTATATGAGCATGAAGAAAACGAAAGTGTTCACGCCAGTGTATTTTTAACGATACACTTACGCAAGAATTATATTGCACGTGTTGGCCAAAACACTCAAGAATTTTGATTCGACACGAACGTTACGTGATCTCTGAAGACATCTGATATGCCGAGAGGAAATTATTCGTTATTTCTACTATTCATTTCTGCCACGATGCTTTCCTCCAAAGCGAAATTATAATCATAATTTTGATTCCTTATTGTCTCTATAAAAGATAAAATTTCACTAATTCTAAGTTGGTCTATCTCGAAATCATTGCTCGCGTTAATCTCCAGGTATTTGCACAATTTGAATGGAACGCCGTTCAAATAATGCGTACTCTCTCCTTGGTTAAAATCTTTGGACGAATCGGTTGGTACAGCTTGTCCAAATTCTGGAACAGGAGGTATGTACGAAGGATATAAGTTACCGCTAGGATACGTAGACGTGGTGTCATGACTTCTGTTCCCTTGTATCGACGATGTCCAATTCGGAACGAATTCATAATCGTCGCTTTGATTCGATACTTGTTCCTCTTCCGTCGAATCAGATGGTGAATCCTTGTGCTGTTTCTTTCGCCCGAATAACCAAGACATTTTTTTTTAACAAATACGACGCGGAATATCACAATGTAATTCGAGAGGTTATCTGTGTGAAAAAACTTGTCGATATAATCGATTGACGATTAAATATTCGATGATGCACAAAATGTAATGAATTCATATTGTGATTCGCACAATACGAATTTAAAAGAAAAAAAATAAAAAATTACTCACATATCAATTTGAAAAATGAAATAAAACGTCTACAATCGAAAGTTCCGTCTTAAAAGTTGATTATGGTCGATTGATGATCATTTGTGGTATTATTATTTATCATTTACCATTTTAAAAGAACATTGTACAGTCCTTGTACTTGAAATCCAAACCTTTCTCTTGAATAATTAATTTTATCGATGCCAATAAAGTGTGATGATTTAACTGACGTATACTTTTTGGTTATACGTTAGTGGTACGCGAAAACACATTGTTTTCAACATTGTCCGTTAGATGTTAGCACCGCGGTAATCGAATACAGCGCAAGCGTTCCAGTGAAATGCTATAAGACGAAGAGTAGGAAAGAGAAAAGTAGAAGGAGAATAAAGGAAAGAACACCTGCAACGTCATCGTGTAATCCTTGTCGTCCGAGGTCGTCTAAGTAAGATACAGCAGTCGCAGTGGTAGTTGGCAAGCCTGCAACGATCCGCTAAATTGTAGGTTAGAGATAGCTTGTACAATTAACTCGCGTAGCTATACGAAATCGTGAAATCGTGGGTAACGATGAAAAGTTGAGAGCTATTAATCGTGGAAAGTTTCATCGATAGTTTGTTCGCGACGAATGGTGTCGCTGTGGATACATAGGTTCGATGTAAAAGCTAGGCATCGTTCCGCAGAATCCAATTTACGCGTTCCTCGTGTTGTCTCGAAACGCATGCGTGCTACCAAGGTAACGAAGTGCATCTGGCAATAATCGGGCGAGCCGTTATAGTTGAACAAACCACGTCGAGGTAGCAGGGCGATCGCATTGTTTTTATGTTTCTCGTATGTGTACATGCCATGCATATACGCTCTGTGTAAGGCGTATCGCGAGTGTCTCGCGAGCGATCAACGTAACTGTCTTCTACGCGTTCGTTGTTTTCCAAGTGTTTGTGGTAAAAGAGAAATTACACCGAGTACCATTGTAAGACGTCGGTTACGTTCGCGCTACGCAAAGGTGTGGCAGCGTTACCAGTAAGTCTCTTGGTGTTGGTGAATTTACGCGGTACCGACCATTGCTAGTTCTCCCGTTTGCTACTCGTCCATTGCGTATTGCTTCTTTTTCTCTTTCCGTCTCTTTCCCTCTCTTTCCGTTATCTCTATTTCCTTCCTCTAACTTTCTTCCATCTTTATATATATATATATATATATCTATCTGCTCTTTCTCTCCTCTTCTCGTCCTCTCTCTCTTTCTCATACATACACATATATATACACACTCATTCTTTATTTCTCCCTCAACACCATTCTTTTCTATCTATTCTGTTCTTGCCTTCATGTCACACACGCGCACGTACGCAGGCACGCACGAATGCGAGCGAGCGCGCGTGCGTTTGCACACACAAAAACATACATTTATTTCCTTCTTTTTCTTCCTTACGTTGTCATATACATGCAACTCGTACATACAACATTCTCAACACGAATCTACGCGTCGCATTTTTGCCACGTGTCGAACGATTAAAATGTGTGTATATACATGGTTTACAAATTGAAATGGATTTTTATACGAGAGAACAGTTTTTCAAGCATATTTCTTCGATCTCGGTCAGTCGATTGAGTGCATCTTAAAATTGAATATTCCATTTTGGGAAATGGAACGCGATTCTAACGATGGAAGCGAGTGACTGTTTTTGTGACTTTCGATCTGTTACCGCTACCACTACCGCTACCGCCACTCTTTAGTCACCACAGCCACCATCATCACCACAGCTACCAGTAGTAGTACCACCACTACTCATTACCACCACCACCATCGCCACCATCACAACCACCAGCACCAATGCCGCCGCGTCCACCTCCACCACCATCATCGTCATCATCATCAGCACCGTCACGGACACTGACACGGACTTGTTCACGAGCTACAAATACCAACACCACCACCAATACGACTCTCATCGTAATCGCGATTGAACAGCATGCCGTTCCTAAACAGAGTTTGATTTCTAAATCTAAATAACATACGGTTCTTTTATTTTCTTTGAAAATTTCATTTTCTTTGAAAATTTCATCTCTTTTGAAACTTAAAAACTCATTGATTTTTCATTGTTTATTTCCACGTAAATGACTTCATCATGTAGGTTCGTAAAATGAACAATGTTTCATGATATTTGTGGATTCAGAGAGAAAAAAAAAACGTTCCAATTATATTTTGTAATCGAAAGTTTCGTTTCGGTTTCTGATCGAAATCCGATTTGTATCGAATTTGACGTGCGTGTAATCATCATGTGCGTGCGCGCGAGGGCACGCGCATTCGCGAGTACGACTCGATCAATGTGTGCTTTATACATTTCGTCATTCGCTATTTATTTAACAATTATTCGTTTCTCAAACAAATCGGGTCGTTAATTACGTGGAAATATTTTCCTATATTTTTTCTTATCGTTTATCCGACGAATGGAAAAATTTCTCGGCTAGTGATTGATTTCGAACGAGGCGAAAGTATCGCGACAATGATGATATCGATCGCGGGTACAATACACGATGGAAATCGAGCACGTGTTGAGCGCGATAGCCGTTCGAGAGATCGATTCGTATATATAGACGGAAGGAAAGGATTCTCTTCCACGATCGTATCCCCGAATTCGCGTCAAATGAAATTGTACACGTGACAAGTGACGCGTAATACGTAGAAAGAAATATATTGAAATTTCCCATTGATAAGGATTCAGAGTGGAAATGGAATCGCAAAGGGTCACTCGACGCGTCGTCACGTGTCAACGATCATCAATTTTCACGTTTAGAATTTCTAATTTCGCGCTCGCGTACACTGTCGCAAATTGTGCCGTAGTTGTAGAAAAATATTGCTTGTTCGCGTTACAGGAAACGCATGCGACCAAAAGAGAAGAAAGTTACAACGTTGCAGCGTTGACGGTAAATGCAGGGTTCGGTGAATGTTGGAGGAAACAGAATGTCCAGCGAGCAAGCGCGAGCAAGCGCCATCGCAACGAAAGGTAAGTTTTAATCGTTTAAAATTTATCCTCCGCTTTTATACTTTACGTTCGGAGTGTCACGGAGAACAACGATCAATAAATTTCGGATGACGTATCGTAATTTTTCGAATCGCGATTTACACGCGAAGGAAGCGAACCGTCGTCGAGGTCATCGTCAACGTCGACCCATGCTTGCGGTTGACGCTATTCTAACCGCGTGGGAACCAACGGTTCGCAAAGTCACCGTGACGCGTATTCGAACAATATTGTCGCGAATAAAAGACGCACGGTAACGACAGTTGTAGTAACGTAGACCATGGATCGCGTCTATGTTAAAAATCTTTCCTCGATATCTGTCGATATTGGGAATCGGTCGCGACACAATCGTGGAACAAGATAGCGAAATATATAGAAATTGTATTTGGAACGATCACAGCCGCGGTTCGCTTCTCACGGTTGATCGCGAAATCGCTGGCGCGCTCTCAACGTCAACGCGGAGGTTCATTCATCGTTTCGTATATATTTTCGATTCGTGCCACCCCTTCTCTTCCGCGATCGCACTTGTTGCCATTGAGCGTCGAGACGAGTCGTACGGGCGCATAGATCATCGATGCGACACGATGTGACGCGATTAGACCGGACCAGACGAAACGAAACGGAAAGAAGAGCGCAACGCGATTGGAAGAGGAGGGGAACAAAAGAGCAAGGGGAGGGGGAGGAAAAGGGACCAAAACGGAAAATTAGAATTTCAAAGGGATCGGTTTTATTTTAATTGGCGCGAACCAATTTTCTTAATGGCAATGCGCGTGGATTAAAAAAAAAAATGCGACGATATAAATGGCATGGTCAGAGGGAAGGAAGAAACAAAAATAAATCTCGAAACGCAGCGGGGATCTTTCGATCCAAAATAGATCATAGATCACCGACCGTTCTTATCCGTCATACGTAATCCGTGATCCACGATCAATCAGTAGAGTTATTTCCCGTTTCGAACGACGAAGCCTACGATTGATCGCGAACCGTGAGAGGAAAAGAGAGAAGGAGAGAATGTGTGCGTGCGAAAGAGAGAGAGAGAGAAGAAAGAGAGAAAGAAAGAGAGAAAATGCGAAAGGGAGGGAAGGGAAGAGAGATAGAAAGAAATAGAGTGAGTGAGAGAGAGAAAGAGAGAGACGGCATAACGTTTGTTGCACGGTTTCTCGAGCTTTCTATTTTTAGACGGCCCGATCGAGCATACGGGCATCGTCAAGGCCGCTCGTTGCGAAACGATTATCGGTGGCACATGTTGCGCCCGCGCTACCAACCCAACCCAATCGAATCGAATCGAATCGAATTGAATCGACTCAATTCGATCCCCTCCCCCCCCCCTTCCCCCCGCTCGCTCTNCTCTCTCTCTCTCTCTCTCTCTCTCTCTCGATTCAAACGAATATTATCTTCCTTCTCGATTCTATCCGTAATTATCCGTAATGCTCCCGTTTTCGAGCATCGAACCTTCTCGCCGAGGTTTTTCTATTAGAAAATAAAAATTGCGACCGATACGTCTCGTCGATTATCTATCGAATCGGAAATATTCCGCTTTTCTTGTTCGCTCGATCGGTGGCCGAAGATACAGGAGCTGGGAAGTGTGGTTCCCGAGTTATGGAATTCGGCACGTAAGCAATGCGACGGCTTCTTAAATGGGACCAAGTTCGTCTGTATATGTAGAAAGTGCTCACCGTAAGAATCAAAAAGATTCCTAAGCACTTCAACGTCATGATTTTTCGCGTGTCGTGTTCCGAGGATGCCGTCCACATTAGAAATTCTACCACGTCCTTGGCCATTTGCGACGCGGTTGCCGGCGTGTCGTCGTCGTATTCGACCGCTCCCTCGAACAACATCTACGAGAAAAGAGATCGGAAAGGGATCGTAAAAAAAAAAAAAAATTATTCGAAGGAATTGAGTGCTAGAACGAATCGTATTTTCATACTTGCGGCATCGTGGTACGTCCACCGGGAAAATACGCGTTAAAGTATTGATTCTGCTCGCTCGGGAGCCCCGCTGGTGGTTCCATCCATCCCGTTAACAGGGAAAACACGTAATCCACTCCATCCCTCTGCGTTAAAATCATGTAAGTCAAATCCGGTGGATAAGCGCCAAAATTGGCCGTTTTCGCCGCTTCCTCGTTCGCATACGGAGACGGAATGTAATCGGACAATTTTCCCGGTCTCATGAAATAATTCCCTTCATCGTCGGGACCATCCTCCACCTAATCGAAAGGACGAAATCGTTCCATTATCTGGATCGTTACGGATCCCATCCATCCTTCGTTCCTCCACTTTTCTTTTTATTTATTTATTTATTTATTTATTTATTTATTTATTTAGTTATTTATAATTCTAAAACGTTCGAAACAGAAACCTCAAACTCGGAAGCAATCTGTTTAACC